GCAGCGTCAGAGGCGGCGGCGGCGGCGGCGGCTTCAACACCGGCCGCAGCTGCCTCGTACGTTGGCACGACGAGCACGCCGCTGCCCGCGCTGCCCGCCAGCGTCGCGTCGGCGACACGTACGGCGGCACCGCCGCAAGCCACAACGGCGCTGCGTCCACTGTCGTCGATACGGCAGTCACGGACGTACAGTGCCGTACCTGGATCGCACGAAAGCAGCCCATGTCCCCGCGCATCCGCCACGCGGGTCGATTGCAGGTAAAGACGTGCCGCGAGGGCGGCGGCGACGCCGCCGTTCGTCACATCGCAGTTGGTGAGTACGGCAAGTGTGCCGGATCCGCGCGCCTCAATACTGAGATCGCATCCGCCAGCATTGCCGTTGGCGGCCGTCGCGGCGGCGGCGGGCTCTGCAGCCCCCGCCGCCACTGCCGCCGCCGCCGCCGGTTTTGTGTTGTCAGCGTATCGCAGTACACAGTCCGTAAGGCCCAGGCGAGCGCCGTGAAGGGCGCTGACGCAGCCGGCGGCGCCGCCTTCGTATGTTGTCTGCTCCGAAACCAAACAGCTTTTGGATCCGGCAGCGCAGCACGCCCCTGCCGTACTGTACAACAGCGAGCAGCCGCCGCCATCTGAGACGCACAGGGCCATCTGGCAACGTCCCGGCCATATGCGACAGTTGGAGACGCGGGCATAACCACCAACCACCTCAACTAATCCGTGGTTATCAACGTATTCGTTGGGATCCACAAGCTCATGCGCCGTGGCAGCTGCCACACCACCGGATCCTGGAACTGGAATTGAAAGTACGAACGGCGTGGCGCCCATAGTGCTGACAGCACGGCGCCGTACAGGCGGCAGGCCCGGCCCGCCGTTACTGCCGCCGCCGCCGCCATTGCCATCAGATGTGCCGTCGCTAACGCTAGCACGTCGGCCCGGCCCGCCGACGCCGTACACGCCGGCGTCCCGTGTCGTACGACCGGGCGACGACGTCCGCCGTACAAGTTTTGAGTACCCCGTCGCAGCGGTTGATGTCACCGCTGCCACCGCCGCCGCCGCTGCCGCCTGGGCGCCTGGCGACGCCGACGCCGCTGCCGCTGCTGCCGCCATGGAAAGTGCCCGCCGCCGTACGGCAGCTGACTGTCGTGCAGCTTCTCGGGAACATCCCAGTATCTCGACACCCTTCAACGTCAGGCTAGCGCCCGGGCCCACGTGAATGTACTGCAGGGAGGGCCAATTGTACGACAACCGCCGTACGGCGGCGCCAGCATTAGAATGCCTTACCCTAAGATTACCGCACCTTACATGTACAACCCATTAATTACGAGATAAATCAGAGACATCAAAAAAGAGAGAGAGAGAGAGAGAGATTATCAAAGGTTTAGGAAAAAACAACTCATTAAGCAGTACAATCGCACCAATCTGAGACATCAGTACGCCTTTTCGCGTAATGCATGTAGCTGTACGGTTTTTTTTATCTAAATAAACCGTCATACACGATCAAAACCTGACCAAAAAACTCCTGAAAACTGGGTTTTCATTTTCCTCAATTCTCTGTCCTTCTCCGAAACCATGTGGAAAGGCACAAATAGGGCGAAGAGATGGGTACGCAGAAAATTGCAACTTTGGCAAGGCCGGGTCCCGCATGCCCTTGGGCCAAGGGGTCGCAAGACCACGCCAAGCCATGTCGTACCACCCGGCCGTATGCCGTACAAATGGTAACTCGATTGCCGTACCTGATCGGCAGTTAGGAGCAGAGTCGCGTTGTACAATGTGATGTGCTGTCCGGGCGGGATGCTCATAACCTGCAACCGCGTATCTAGAGCAACAGAAAAAACGGTGGCGGTGGCGGTTGTGGTGGTTGTGTTAATGGTGGCGGTGGTGGCGGCGAAACTACCACGACAAAGGACAATTTTGAATTGGTTAATTTGAAACTATATTAAAGGTGGCCGACTGGTTCTGTTATTTCGGAAAAAAATTTAATAGCATACCGGACATTCTACAACAAAAAAAACAAAAAAACAAAAAATTTCGAAAAGCTGTACGTCATCAACCTCACCCACATTCCTTCGCCCACTTCCCTCGCTTTTTTTCCCTTTACAAGCGCATTGCCGTACTGAGCATTTAGTCACCGCCATCCCGTACTCGCCCATCCAACCATTTATCCGTACCATGCACGCACACATACATACATACACGGCAACACGCACTCGCTAACACGTCAGCTGCCAGCACAGCAAACCCCCTCCCGCCCTCCGTCACCCCGCCCCCCCCCTCCTTTCCCCCCACCACACCCCACAATCCCACCCGAACTCCCCCACCTGGAAGATTTCTTAGATATCTGCTGCGAGCACTCAAGTGCCCTGCAGAGCCGGTTGCAACCGTTTGGTTGAAACCAACTCGTAAAGTCTGGTGCCTGGGCGTCGTGTTGGACATCGCTGCAGCGGCAGCGGTGGCCAAGGCGGCGCCCAAATCGGCCGCAGCGGCGGCGCCGCCGCCGACGCTGCCGTCAGCACCCGCCGCCGCCGCCGCCGCCGCTGGCGTGAAAGGCCCGCTGAACTCACACCCACCCAGATCAAAAAACGTGGGGCAGTTGACCGTAGTCAGCTTGTCGAACAATTCCTGTAGGGATGTTGACCGACCCATGGGTCAGTGGGAAGAGGGGCAAAACCCAAATATCCCCTCGCGGGTCGCGACACGGCACGTTCGAAACAAATCCACACCCCACCTTTTTTCCCCTCGGGGCCATTTACTGCGTGGCACCTGTAAACTCGCTGATACGACAAAAGTACGAGACATGTCCCAGAGTACGACACACCAAAGTCGTTGCCGTACCTGGAGTCTGCCGCTCCGAAGATGCTCTGTCACCTGAAACGCCGACGGTTTCAGCCACTTGGGCGGCCGCAACGTAATCTCCGGCGCCGCCGGCACCTCCCCCGCCGCTGGCCCCGCGGCACCCCCCGCAGCAGCCAAAACACCCACGCCGGAGATATGAGCCTCACCAGGCGGGCCCGCCGCCGCCGCCGCCGACCCGGCAGCGGCACCAGCGGCGGCGGCGCCGCCGGCAGTCCCGCCGGCGGTGCGGAGGTCTGGCAGCTGCAGGCCCCTTCCTAACGCCGGTGCCGACTGTCGTGCGGCTCTTGTATGAACGAAAGGTGCAAGGCTTGACGGCGGAGTCGTCCGGCCTGGCGGGCCCGGCCGTGACGGCGCCCCTGGCGGAGGCGACGGGGGCAGCGGCGGCACAGCAGCAGGCCCCGCCGCCGCACCTGCCGCCGCCGCCATGTCGACGGCGCCGCCTAGTCCTATCGTCGCCTCCGTCAACCGCAAAACAGGCGCGCTGAATGCATTCAGTAAGAGAAGCTGTTGCGGTTGGCGTGATGAATCCTGTGTGTCGTGCTGGGCCTTATAACTTGGTTGAATAGGCTCTGGCTGTAGCTGCAGCTGCTGCTGCGGCGGCGGCAGCGGCAGCAGCGACGTAGATGTAGCCGATGGCGAGGAAAGAGGCTGTAGCCAGACGCCCTCGTTGTCCATATTCCCGTCGGCAGTAGCAGCGGTGCCCACTGGACCACGGGACAGTTGCACTTGCCGGCTCAAGGCCATGGGCGTTGGGGAGATTGTACGGGCAGCCGCAATGGGTGATACAGCGGCGGTGTGGGCGGCCGCCACAGCCTGTGCTGTCGTACCCAAACGGCTGGCTGCCGCCGCCGCCGCGGCAGCGGCGGCGGCGGCGGCACCGGGTGAAGGCAAGCCCCACCAAGCCTGTTGTTGCTGCTGCTGGCTGTTCTGTTGTCGTACATTGGTCCCGTCTGGGCTGGTGATTGGCGGCGGGGGCGGCGATGTCCCGCGGGGACTTATTCGGAGTCGCCCTTGTGAGCTCCCCGCTTGAAGACGGAGAGCAGCGAAAGGCAGCCGGGCAGCTGGCGGCGGTTGCGGTTGCGTCGTTAGTGACGGCGGTTGAGGTTCTAACGGTTGCGGTTGCAGGTTCGGAAGTTCACCGTACGATGGGGAATGCTGTACGGCATCGCGGTGCTCCAGAATAGACGAAGCGCTGTTGCGCGTGGTGGGAATGATGTTGTTGGTGAAGCTGATCTCGGCGGCCATGCCGCCGCCGCTGCTGCTTGCGGCGGCGGCGGCGGGAAGACCCCCGGCCTCCGACCGCGGCGGCGGCGGCGGCGGCGGCGACGGCGCCAGCCCCACTCCGCGGGTTGCCGCTCCAGTCGGAACCGGCAACGATGCGCCGGCAAAGCTCACGCTCCTGCTACGGCCAAATGATTTGGGTCGGTCCCGTTGCTGCTGCAGCCCCAGCTGCGGCCGCTGCTGCTGCTGCTGCTGCTGCTGCGGCGGCGGCAGGCCGTACTGTGGCGTTTGATCGTGCAGTGGCAAGTTGCTGCTACGGGTAGGCACGACAATGGACTGTCTTCCCGGCGCTGGTGCCGGGGAGGCGTCTGGGGAGGTGGTACGGCGGGGTACGGTTATTTCGTCCCTGCCGTACAGTGCCCCACCCATCGCAGTCGCCGCTGATGATGCCGCTATGGCGGCATCAGTCACCAGCGCGGCCAGACGCTGAGAGGAAGATGCGCGCTTGGATAGCAGAGGAGCATTGGGGCTGGAATTAGAGGAGGGAGCAGGAAGCACTGAAACCAGCCGCTGCTGCTGTGCCTGCGCTTCGATTCGGGAAGGACCGACCGTGGCATCCCCTGCTTCTTCGCCCTGCTGTTGCCCGGAATGGTAGCCTGCAATAGAGGCTGCATCCGATTGGCCCTGCGCAAACGGCAGGGCGGCAATCCTGCCGCGCAGACCGTTGGTCGAGTAAAGCCCGACCGGTGATACCGAGCTCATCTCCAGAAAGCCAGAATCAACGCCAATTTCATTTCCGATGCTCCATTGCTCGTCGTCCCCTGAGCTGGTAAGCAGCTCATTGGCAGGGCCCGATGAATCGGGTGCGCCGCAAGAAGTAGATCCGGTTTCCTCATCATCGTCCAAAATCACAGGCAGAGCTTGTGATGATCCACGTTTTTGTGCAGCCCAGGGCTGCGACTGCGGGTGTGAGTTTAAAGCGGGAGACGGAACGAAACATACTTCCTTTGGTTCTCGGCCAGCACGCATGATGCTAACGTTCTAAATTGAGCCATAAGAAACTGTATATTGGGGTGACACCTCCATCTGCCCGATTCGAGGGAGCATGTCGAACGAAGAAAGGTAGAAACAACAAAAGAAGCTGCGCATTTTGCAAATTAAGTTCACCATGCAAATCACATACACAACCGTAAAACTCTTACTTGTAAAAAGGTGCTTGGCAGCGCTGCACGCATGACGGCGTTATTCGACTCCCATATATGCCAGCCCACTGGAGCCGTCAGGCCTATGTCAGTACCCGGTAGCTTGCAGCCCACTAAAGGATTGAGCCCACGTCGTTGGGCATGTCAAGTCGCCTGGAAGTTGCGGGCGCCATAGCATGTAGGACTGCAGGAGAAGATATAGCTCCTTCCAGCAACACTAAACGCGCATGTGCAATATTATAAAGTATATAAAGCAATCTCATGTATTGTCAGTGCGCGAATGATGGCAGCGCACGCGTGTAAAAGTTCAGGTGTTTCAACACCGCCCTCCGTACCTTTTGACGCCAACCCACAGAAACAAATCTGGGCCTAAGCATCCAGCCCGCACACCTATATCCTAAAGGTCATCGTCTTAAACTGCACCTATTTGCATAAGGTTGGGCTAGGCATACCGATATGACAAGGTTCCGAAATATCGGTATAAATAATCTTAGCCGGCAACGTGTGGCTTCATCACAAATAGTATTAGCATTTTACAAAGATGGGGAAGACAGGGGCCGTACATGGGTTTGGAAGCGACCTGGGAAGATACTAGCATTTTCAGCGTCGACTCTAGTTCCAAAGGAGTAGGTAACCGCCGCAGGCGCACTCCCCCATATCTCCTATTTAAATGTCCAGGCATTGTCGTGGAATTGTTCGTGGACTTACGGCATCGTATGGGAAACCCAAAAATACGTTAAGAACGTGGCATCGAGGGGGTTTTCCAGGTCCTGTTCAGCGGTTTCCGGCGGAAAATCCGCTTGCTGTTGCAGAAGACCTATGCGCCCTGTACCTGATGTTAACTAAACATATTGTGCTAAATTCTGAGGTTTGCCTTGTGAAACAGGCTGTGTCCATGCTGCGAGTTGAACAGCTTTGGAACCAGGGGTCCTTCCGCGGACGCAACAGCTTCTAAGAGCTGCCCACGAGAGACCGCAGCAAGGAATAGCGACGCACAGCCTTCGATGCCCGCACCCTGCATAGATCTGTTCCTTGCACAGTCTCAAGGCAGAATAACAACTCGATGGGAAATGTCTGCGATTCGCTGCTTCCGGAGTTAATTCGATGAACGCGATGATGGGTGATATGCTATTTCTACAACTCTCCTACGCAGGCAATCGCTGACCCACATGATCCTTTCGTGACTTTGTCAAGGGATGGGGTTTTGGTCGGGGGAAGTGGCATGATAAACGTGGACGTGACCCCTTCTTAAAGCATGCCGCCGCGTCTATCCAGGAGCCGAGCTGCGCTACGTTAAGATGCACCGCTGGGGAAACATACGTACACCGGCACGCATCCGGTGACATTTGACCGTTATGCTGGACAACAGGCCGGCAACATTTCTCCTCATAATGTGGGAATCCATAAATCTTCAAGGCAGCGATTTACTCAAATGCATTGTTGTACGGTGGCGGAGGCCCCAAGAACACGCAGGCAGTGTAACAAGTTATCATGTCAAACACTTATCCTTGATAGAGTATTGGGCTCAGTTGTGCACTTGCACAGTGGAAGCACAGGACGATTAGTGGATTGCCAGGGCTCTTTCCGTCACTTACAAATTAAGAACCACGGAAGAACAACTTTGAAGACATGACTGTAACACAGTTTCGTTCCGTTGTATTAACCCTTAAATGATTTCATTATAAAGTCTGACTGGACGTGGCCGTGTTACCACAGCCTCGCGAGATGCTCCCAATCCGGCTTAGGCCGCCTGTACATCTAGCTATATGCGCAACAAATATTGAGGTGTATGCATCGCGACTTTTGCCTGGTCGCAGTTCCCTCTGCAGCCTCTTTCGGGACTGTCCGGCAGCGCGAGCTCAGCGTCGTCATGGCCGCAATAAGCGGCCAAACACAGCACAATCAGTAAATAATAGCACAACGCTCGCATCTGCAAGCCGCAGTCCGCGACAAAACACAACGACTAGCACATCCAATCAGCAGCGCTCATCCTCTTCCTCCTCTTCTACCTCGGGCGGTAATGGCGGCAGCGACCCTGACAACGAGCAGGGCAGCAGCAGCAACAACAGCTTTCAAATCGGCTTGGACCCTTTCAGCCAGCAGCTCATCATCTCAGCGCTCACAGCTGGAGCGGCATACGCCATTGCAACATTCGCACACCTGGACCTCTTACACGCGCTCCGCCTAGAGGAGGATGCGGTAGCCCTAGCCCTCCAACTATCAGCTCCGGTGCTGCTGCTGCTGCTGGCGGTAGTTGCCCCGAGATGGGCGCCGCCCTTCAAGGTAGCGAACATGGCATGTGTTCGCGACACCGGCCACCCGCCTGACTTGACAGTGCCTTGCTAGTACATGCCATGATAGAATATATTCATATGGCTACAACAGTTTTCGGGATTGCGTTTCCCAACACCTTCACAAAACCTGTTATGCGCTTGCAAAGGAGGCCCGGATTGCCATGTGGCCGGGCCGTTCTCTTGACATTCTCCCCCACTTGTGTGCGATTTGGGTCCTCCTTATCTTCTTGGATCCTTCTGGTTATCTTGCGCCCAGAAAAACGCCTCCTCTTCCTCCCCTATCCCTGCTGCTGTGGCCGTTCATGCTGTCGCCACTCCTGCCACGCGCACTCCGCTTTAGGGTTCGGAATTGGAGCGGTTGCGTCACAACTACTACATGACTGCACAGGTGAAGGGGAAGGGTGTTTGTATGTATGTACGTATGTATGGGTGGGTGGGCCAGGGTGAATGCCGGAATGGTATTGAGGTGGGGTGAGGTGGGGGGTGAGGTGAGGTGAGGTGAGGTAGGGAGGAGGAGGGAGCCAGCGCGGGAGGGGGAAGGGATGGAGCCCCTCGGGTGTTGGAGGAGTGTGTATGTATGCATATATATGTATGTATGTTTATATCTTCTGTCGTACGTACTTTATACATCGGTCCGTACAGGTATTGCAGCTGTATTTGAATTTCGATGACGAAGATGACGACACCAGCAGTGGCAGTAGCGGCAGCAGCAGTAGCGGGACGGATAGCGGCAGTAGCGATGAACGGGCGCGCGTACGGCGGCGGTTACGGTTGGAGCAGACGGTTGGGTGGGGCACCATCAGCAGCGGCCTGGCGCTGATGCAGGTACGGGAACGGGTTGCTGCGTTGTCCCTCCTGGAACGTTATTGTACGATGCACGGCGTTGCGTCCGCTCTTCTTCTTGTACGACAGCCTTCCTCTCCCCTTCTCTCTCGCCTTCCTTTCCCCTTCTCTTTCTTTCCTTATAATTTATAATTTAAAACTGATAATTTTTAAAAAGATTAGAATATAAAATGGAAATTAATATTCAAAAAATTATCCTGCGAACCCGTTCCCCTGCGACCCCTGGACTCCTCCCAGGCCTTCACGGTGCAGCCATGGAACCCCCCCACCGCTAATTCAGTGTTCGGACTCGCACTGGCCGGTAGATCAGCACAACAACTGGCTAACGAATTTCTGGTAAGCGTGATACTGACGATGCCAAAAAAAAACCGTACGGCACCTCTCTTTTTTTTTGCTCCCATTGTACGAAACACGAAATAAGTCACCTCTCCGGGAACGTCGAGGTCCTTTTTTGATCTGCCGTAATATGTTATATACCCCCACATAACACTTCCAAAACATCCTAGGTTAAAAAGTACTACTGGCAAACCGCTAACCCAGATTAATAACCTATTAAAACCTGTTAAAACCTGTATAAAAACCCTACATTGTAACCCTGTATCAAAACTTCAGGTTCGCGGTGCCGGCTGGGGCCTCCTAAGCGGCTGGGTGGCGGGGGAGCTGCAGGCAGCGGACGCCTCGGACGGGATCCTGTTCTTCGGGAAGGTGTTTGGCGGCCCGGACGCGGTCAAGTGAGTGGGGGGTTTTGCTTTGTGTGTGTTTCGTTTTTTTTGGGGGGGGGGGCCGAGAGCCGCGCAGGGAGGAGGAGAGGAAGGGGGAGAGTAGGGATGAAGTGTCGATGGCAGAGTGAGGAGGATGGGGAGAGGGGTGGATGAGTGGGAGTAGCGGGGGGGCCTCCGTACACAACAAGGAGGTTGTGATATGGCTTACCGTTACCCACTTATTATAAGGCGATAGGTTACGGGGGTTGAAGGCTGAGGGGGAAAGACCTCTCAGTCAGTCTCAGTCCGCGCGGCGGGTTTTCTACACGAGGAGGGGAATATTGTATATAAGTAAAAGAAGTAAAAATGGCGACGTCGTCACCGTTTTTTGGTATTTTTTAGGGCTTTTCATCATGTTTCCCTTCCCCCCGCCCTTGCCCTGCACCGTCGTGTGTGTTTGCCAAGGTATGCGGCGGGTTTAGCTCTGGTAGCGCTCGCGCTTCCGGGGGCCTTATGGGAGGCGAGGGCTGCCAGGAATTTCGTTCGCGCGTCTGTGGTCGGCCCCGTGAGGGACGCCGCCATCTTCTGCACTGGTGAGAGCTGCTTGTGTTAGGTTGGGGGGGGGCTCCTTGGGCTGGTGGGAGGAGGTGGGGGGCGGTGGTGGGGGCGGTGGTGGGAGGCGGAAGAGGAGGTAAGAGTTGAGGGTGGAGGTGAAGTGGGTCGGGGGGAAGGTGAGTGAGTGAGCAGGAGGGGGGGGGGCGGGCAATGTTGGTGGGTTAGGTGGATGGGCAGGTTAAAAAAGGGGGGAGGCGGTTAGTGGTGGGTAGGCAGGCAGGCAGGCGGGCAGAGGGGGGTTTGTTTTGTTTTGTTTTGTTGCCCCGGGGGTGACGGGATTAACTTTGGTTGAGGAGGGCTGAGGAGTGGGCGCTGCGTATAGTGAGCGCTACCTCAAACGCCGTGTTGTGTTTTGCGCCTCGGAGCCGTCGACTGTGTGCCACCTGGTCCTCCTAGCTGTCTGTGCTCCTGTCTCCCTTGACCGTATTCTCGTGGCTCGACCGACTCTATAACGCGCTTGCTGACCGTGCCTTTGAAGGTTGGGATGGGAAGGGGGGAGGCCAGCTGCCAAGGGCCCTTACACTGCAGAAACTAAAACTGCAGATCTTGTAGGTCTGTTTGTTTATATGTCACTTCCAGCCGAAAATCGGCTTGCCTGTGTGGACCGTACCCATTCCCGAGACATACATACATACATACATACATACATACATTCAAACAAACAAACAAACGAAGTGGTGCTAATTTTGCCGTTGTGCACGCGCCGTACAGGCAACGGTGTGGACGAGCCGGCGTACTGCGACCCAACGGGATTTGCGATGATGGCGGCCCGGCGGCCCGCCAATGCCGCACCGGTTGCTGACGTGGTGACGAGGACTCGCGGCTGGCGGTCTGGTGAGGCGCCTCGGATAATAGTAACGTGTTTAGAGACGTGACAATGTGTTTTTGGGGGTATGTGTTTTGATGATGCGATGATGTGATGTTTTGATGATGCGTTTCGGGGGTTGGGGTTTGTGAAAAGGGGGGTTTGTGTGAGGGAGGAATGTGGGTGGGAGCGAAGAGAAGGGGAGAGGGGAAGGTCCTATGTTTTGTGTATTCTTGTGTGTTTCAGTTTTACTTTACTTACTAGGCGGAGTTTTCCTTGGGACGTGTTTTGCTCTGCACCGTCCCCGCACATTTTGCAAACCGTGTGTTGAAATGAAGTGAACTGAGTCGCGGAAAGCGACTGGTGCGGGGAATGAATGTCGTCAGCTTTGGGCAGCTTTACTGAAAAAGAATGCAAAAAGTCCAATGGGCAATCACGTGATGGAAATTGCTATGTGGCACTTGTGCCCCATGCCGTACTGGTACGACAGGCCCGGAGGCATCGTACAGCAGTGTGAGCTCTCTGGGTTCTCTGGACGTGGCGGAGTTGGACGAGCTGTCCGAGGACCAGCGAGGGGAGGCGGAGAAGAAGGGCCAGCCGCTGGGGAGAAGTACGGCTCCCTCCTCCACCATCCCCTCCCCCCCGTCCTTCACCTCCGCGGCCGCCGCCTCGTCATTGCACCGTTCTGCATCCGCTGCAGCTACCTCGCCCTCCGCGTCCTCGCCCTCCGCGTCCTCGCCCTCCGCGTCCTCGCCCTCCCCCTCCGCTGGATCAGAAGCGTCCCAGCCGTTGTCGCCTCCTCACCTCGCCTCCTCCTCCTCCCCCGTTCCCACGTCGGGTTCGGCTCCGGAACCTTCATCCCATGCGACGACGGAAAGTAGCTCCCCTTGGACGCCCATTTCGCATTCGGGTCCCCCGACTTCCTCTTCCTCCTCCTCGTCTTCGTCTTCGTCGTCGTCTGCCTCTTCCTTCCCTCCACCATCCTCCCCTACCTCCGCCGCCACCGGCACGACGTCGCCATCTCCGGCACCCGTTGTTCCGGACCCTCCCCCTCCCCCTCCCCCTCCATCCCCCTCAACAACCCTCCCCCCGCCCATCTCAGTGGGACCCACCCTATCCACCAGCAGTACGGCATTCGAGTGGGACTCGGAGGATATGGGTGTACTGCTTAAGGTGGAGACATTGCAGGTCAGATCGGGTCGGGTTTGGGTTTTAGGATTTAGGGGGAATTTTCAAGGCGCGGGTGTTATATCATATATCATATATGTAACACCCGATCCCGTTTGGGTTTGTATATATATATATATATATATATATATATATAATATACACATATACTATATGTATATAGGTTTGTGTGTGGCGGGGGGTACTTTCCAGCGGTGAGCTGTATTTGTACATGTTTGCGTGTATGTATGTATGTACATGTCGCTGTAAGTGGATGCTTTGGGGGGCTAGTGGGAGCGGGAGGAGAAATGCAAAGTGTTATGGTGATGGTGTGTTGTGTGGGAAAGTTGGGGCAAAAGAGGGAATGAAAGGATATTGGGGGAATGGCTGGATTGTTTTTGAGTGCGCTGCTCTCTGCGGACTTTTCCTTCCCACTCAGCTACCTTTGGGTCTGGTCATTATGGGTTGGGGTACTGTGCTAAAAAGGCAGTTAACAGGCGAAGCAGTACCCGAAAAAACGAGCTCGCCAGCTTCCTGGGTCTCTCAGCCAAGATTAAAAAGTAGGGTGGTGGTTAGGAGGGTGTGTGGCACGCATGGTGTGTGGAGGGAGGAGGAGCATGGTGTGTGGAGGGAGGATCATCAGCGGAACTCCTCACGTGGGGAGTTTGTGGGGTGTTTCAGGGTGTCTGGGCGGTTTTAGTGATGAAGGAACATCAGGGAAATGTTTTAGGGAGTGACTTCCCCACCTCTCAAATCACCTCCTCTTCTCCCCATCACCCATCTAAGCACCCTCTCTATTATGCATCCCACACCTACCGCAGATTGCCCTTGGTGCACTTGGCCATGTCCCCGCCGGTGTCACTCGTACTCCTATCTACTGCCTTATCCGTCTAGTTTTTTTGGTTTTTGGATTTGTTTCATTCGCCAGTGGTTCATCTTACTCCTACTCCTATCGCAGTTGGCTTCGGTATGCTTTTGCGTTGATTCTGGCCGTGTGACTCCTCTTGCCCTCCCCTTCTCTCCCCTCTTTTTATCTACAGGACAAGATTGCTTTTTCGTCGTCCATGTACTACCAGCTCCTGGCCGCCTTCGCTATCAACGGGGCCTTTTTGGCCTCAGACTGCAACTTGCTGGCGTCGTTTCTGGCGGCTTGGCTGCTGCGAACTGGACCGCTGCTGCTCAGTGAACTGCGTGCTCGTGCAGCAGCAGATGCAGCGATGAGGACGATGTGAAGAAGCGCGTTGGGAAACAAGTGCTTGGAAAGGCGAAAAGACGGGAAAGAAAAGACACATGAAAAAAGTTAGAGGCTAGAGGAAGTGTCTGCTTACAAAAGAAGAAATTTAAGTGCACAGATATCGTTGAAGTTTAATGAGCGACTGATGAATGAGTTAATAAATGAATGATGAGAAAGGAAGGCTACTCTGCATGAAGTATAAAATGGTTTGGAAAAGGAGGAAGTTTCGTTCAGGAGAGTACCCAGGGAGAGGGAAATGGGGGGAAATGGGGGAAGGGAGGGAAAGGGAGGAATTCACAGGCAGGACGTCACTGTGAAGGGAGGAGACAGGAACTACCGGTGCCGGGAAGCAGACATCATGTGTGTGGTCCGTGTCTCTCAGCAGGATTGCAGATGCTGGGGGGTGGGGTGAGGGTGGAAGATGCTGGTTGTTTAGGTACCCATGTTTTGTTTGTGACGTATTGCTTTTTGTTCACTTTCCCACGTAATAAGTAGGCTTTCGATTGGCTGCGTGGGTATCTGTATACATGCATAACATAAGAGTTAATGGTATTTCGCTCTGCGAGTGAATACTTGTGTGTGTGTATTGGTAGGCATTAGCAGCAGCAGTCTTGAGTTGGTTGGCGGTCTTTACTTAGTTGTGTGTCGGCAGCACACGTGTTTGTAGGATGGATGGATGCGTGGCAAAAAAAAACACTTAAGCAACCGGCGGTGGCATCACTCTATGGGCGTATGCAGAGTGTTCGGAGGCGCATGCAAGGAGCGCATGCTTCTCTGTGTGTAGGTTTTAGTTAGCAGCAGGGGTTGGCAAATCGTGTAAGTTGGCTGCAGGCCGGCGGCGGTACTCTAGTTCTACAATTTCCCTGGCGCCTCTGCCGAGAAAAAGCTGCACATGGTGTACGAGCCTCTTTCTGTTCGAGTCTACACAGCGTGAGCCAGTCCATAGAACCACAGATGTGTACGGCTGAATATAAATATTGTCAAGAGTCGTCGACTGATGCTAGCTTTGCTACCTATGTGATAAATCGATGTTATCGGTCGTACCTCTACTGCAGGTCGTATATGGCAACAAACAATGCGGTTACCAAATGTTTGGCATCGGTTTGATATCGCTCTCTCCTTGGCCCGCGTCCCGCACATGGCCCTGAAATCCTGATTAAACCTGTCATGACCTCATGTACCGATCAGTTAGTCCGTATCCTCTCGTTCTCCTATCACAAAAAGGTCCGACGGTGGTTTACTCCGGGATCGCCATTGCTTTCAGGGCTTCCCCCCATCGTCCAGCCGTGGGTGAGATGCATGCTGTCATCCTTCGGCATTGAGACACATGGCCTTCCGCATACAACCCAGGGCGGTGTCACACGGGCATCATGGCTGTAATGAATACTGAAGGAGAAGTACAGCCTTCAGAATAGACCAACCAATAGTATGACAGGCACCAAAACTGAAGGTACTTCTGACATCACACCGAGCGCTGCTGAGTTACCTATAATCACCTCCAAACATGTGCTGCAATGTCAATAGGAGATGCATGGCTGGAGAACCCTCATATGGCCTCTACCTGGAACAGCTCCCCAACTAGCCCCAGACCTGCCCACCACTGCACACCACCACCTCAGCAATACCTATGCCCAACCAGGGCCGCTGTCCAACCAACGGATGTGCACCCAACTCCCCCTCTCAGGTCTTAGACCACCTGCCCAGCACGTCGTGGATGATCACAAGCCAGGACGCCCTCAACTGGAGGGAGGATAATGTTGTATCCTGGACTTGTCAGAAGATTCTGACATCCGCTAATCGGTACTTTTCTGAAGTCGTGATACAACAAGGGACCGGTGTGGGAAGGGGGAGGAAGGGGGGGGACTCATGTAGAGGCAATCGATGCTGTTGAAAGGCTGTGAGCAGTACAACATCCCCCTGCCCTGATCACTATGCCCATGGCCTCCCGTCGGATCCAGCAGTCTGAAAGGAAAGGGCACCGTAAACCAGGATCACCATACCTCAAGGGCAGCAAAATGCATGTATTACCGGGCCCCCTGGGTGCCTCCACCACAGCCGGCCTGACCGGCCACCACCGAGGGAAACCCTTTGTCATCCAACAGGCACAGTAAGGCGCCAGTGCGCCCTCTTTCTTATGGTGGTTCTTCCAGTGCGGCCGCCATAAGTGCTGGAGTGGAAACTGGCCTGGAAACTGGCCAGGGTGTCCGGAGGTATAAAAATGTCCCCCCTGTGTCCTCAACGTAGGTTATGTGACATGTGGCCTGGGGTTCGGCTGTGAGCGACAAGATGGTGGCGGGGTTTACTGTCAGCTTTGGCAGATGCAAAGGTGAGGCGCCCGCAGGCCGCCACCGCACCAGGCCACGAAGTGGATCACCCACGCCTCCTCTGTGGCTAATCCTGCCAGGACGGCTTGGACAGCGTTTACCCCATGCAGGTTGGGAGCAATGGCAGCAGCAGCTCTCCAGTTTAGTGGCACTGGAGTGCCCGGGCTGCAGTTGCTGGTTGTTAGTTGCTGGTTGTTGGAGCGGGAAAGCGCCCCAACGGCGGTTACCTTCGGGAAAGAGGTCGGCAAATCGGTTTCCACGGCTGCAGGAGGGCATGATTTCGGTCGTGACAGCCTTTTACGAAGTCAAACACAGAGCTCGAGTCCAGCACGCGGTCCTACGGGACGCAATGGGGGCTGCAAATCACGTCTTTTGGTCAAATTTTGGTCATTAGTGGCCCGCAGCCGGGGCCTTAAGCCGAATTTCGGCTGCGCGTACTGTGGTACGGACCCGCAGCAACCCTCTGCAACCCTCTGCCCGCAGTACCCACAGGGTGTGCCGACCTCGGCTTCGGACCTATTGCTTTGTCGCAGATTCGAGAGGTGTGATAGCTTTAGTTAATCTTGATCACCCGTGGCCACAACGATCATTTATAGGGCAACGTTTTAGAAAAGCTACCTATATATCGAGTCCTAACAATGTGAACATAACCGAACTACTTCGATTTTAGCACGGAAACTAATATTTAAATTTTCCCCAAGCATGTTCACGCTTATGTCTGCGGATCCTTAATGTGGAACAGGTATGGTGTGAGCAATTCGTGACTCGACAATGTATACGACGACAATCACAGTGCGAACTGTCAAGTCTCAAACTATCGGTCAAATCATTCGCCGGTAAACTCGTATCTGTCAGGTGCAATAATTTCAACAACGACATCGCGGCCGGTAAGTGTTTGGTCGCTTCGGGGCGCTATCGGCGGAGGGCCGCTCTGCGCACGGCCAGGAGCGTGCTCGTCAGTGGGCCAGCCCGATTGCACGAATGCAGCCTTTGAAGAAAAAGATACGGCCAGGCCGCAAAAACTTCTCCCTGAGTCGCAGGCACCAGTGCCGGGGGGGGGGACTGCCATTCCTACTGTTCTGGAGGTGTAGCGCGAAACCGCGCCGGAAATTGCGGAACGCTAAGTGTTTGCAACAGTTGATTTCAGACGAAACAGGGCAGCATTTCGAGTACGTATTGTGACCACAGTGCCTTCGTATCAATTACCAGAACAAAAGGCTTTGGGTCACGATACGCGAGATTGGGCAAAAAACGTAGCAGGAAGTTTGTTTGACGTATGCCCCAAAAGATGTCATTTAAATTATTATTGCACATCCTATCGGCCATCTTAGTTCACATGAACTTATGGAGTGCCGCGTTTGTGGGCGGTTGAATTTCACACAGTAGGTTGATGCGAACGTTACGCGCGACCCTCCTACCTCCCAACCCTCCAACCCTCCTCTCCGTTGTATGCCTAGCATAACATACGTTTAAGGAATTTCAAACATTATAAGAACTTGTACTCATTGTTGTGGAACGTTTAAAGTGCTTATATACAGTGCGTCTTATTGCTGCGTTGACCGTTATCGTTCGAGGACATTCGCAAAGCTTACTTCGCTTAGCTCCAGTTGCAGGTGCGTGTGGTAAATGCTGATTAATCTGTCATCTAGTAGTTTCCTCTATGTGCATTTGCGCTGGAGCCGCCAGTTGTGCCGATTGAATAACCGGAACGGCGTATTGAGCTTCTGCTTCCATTTGACTTTTTGACGGCTTCCGCGTTACGCTTCTCGCAGGCTTTCATACCAATTTCCAAAAATGGTTTCTATGACAATGAACGATACGCTGAACCAGGTGGAGCACACGCCGCCCGTTCATAAGCGCATCCTGGACATTCTGCCCGGCATTTCAGGTGGCGTTGCAAGAGTCATGGTAGGTGTCTGATTTATTGGACGTATTTTCCTGTGTCTCCAGCTGTACAGGTATCCTGCATTCAATGTTTGCTTGGTCTGAGAGAAGCCATGTCAATGTGTGTGTGGTCATCCTAACTGTTGGAGCTCTGATACACGTATACAAACAAATCCTGATCATAATTTGTCCGTGCTCTGCACCCTGATCATAATTGTGGCGTTGAGGCCTCGTCCTGCTGGGAGGGGGAATATAAGTAAAGAGGTGAACGCGCCTTGCTTTATTAGTTTATTGGCCGTCAGTAAAGAATACCTAAATTATTTGCAAAATCTCCATGTACTGTCACATTTGGAAGTATCTGAAGACTTGCTGCGTTTTTCCCGCCGCGCAAATTAAAAGTGCTCTGCATCAGCAGCAAAAGCCTTCCCGACCGACGTCCCGTGCAATGCCTATACATGTAGCACCAGCAGGCCACCGCCAAAGCTTCCATCCGCCTCCTCATCCTCCCCGCTGTCGCTTTTTACGCAGATTGGCCAGCCGTTTGATACAATCAAGGTACGGCTACAAGTGCTCGGTCAAGGCACCGCGCTCGCGGCGCAGCTTCCGCCTTCTGAGGTGTACAAGGATTCATTGGACTGCGTCCGCAAGATGGTTCGCAACGAGGGCCCGTTGTCCTTCTACAAGGGTACCGTCGCACCGCTAGTGGGCAATATGGTGCTTCTGGGCATTCATTTCCCCACGTTCTCCTACGTGCGCAAGCAGCTTGAGGGCGACGACCACTATACAAACTTCTCCTACACCAACACGCTTCTGTCCGGAGCCGCTGCCGGAGCCGCGGGTTCGCTGGTATCTACTCCAGTAGAGCTGGTGCGCACCAAGATGCAGCTGCAGGTCGGTATCGAAAGCGGACGACGTGATAGGGTGGTGTCAGTTCCGTGTGCAAAGCAAATGTACGTCTTATCTGTGTGTGTGCGTGTGTGTGTGTGTGTGTGTGTGTGTGTGCATGTGTGTGTGTGTGTGTGTGTATTTTGGCGAAAGGGAAGGATGCAAAGTTTGGGCCATGGGAATTGAGGTGACCGTGCGCACAGCAATATAGACATTAATCGGACATGCTGACGTTTTGTTATAAACTCCTTATCTAGCATTTATATTAGTGACACTTCGATGTTTTGGCGGTTATAGTTGTCCATGTTGAATAGGGTGGCCTTGGCTTTTGGTGCGCCTCCCCGCCGCGCCGCGCCGATCTCTCTTTCTCCGGAATTTTAATCCCATGGCCGGTTGATAACGGAGGGGGTTAACGACCTTTGCCTCTCATTTGCAGGAAAGCCATGTCACGGTTTTTTCTGCGCACATACGCCTTCTTTTGCTTTACCTAGCCGAGCCATGTACGACGACACCAACCGTCACCAACCACCCTATCGTGTTCCCAAGCCAAGGAACAACATTAACACCATCCATAATCACGCACCCTGGTCTCTCAATTATTCCACTCAGGATCTACATTCACTTGCTATTTCTCAATCTATTAACCCTGCTTGCCACCCTCCCCACGAACCCTTGGATTGCGCTGTATCTCTAAACGCCAGCGCCGCGCCGCACTTGCCAGTTCTGTGGGTAAGTCCGCCGCCTCGTCCGCTTCGGATGAGTTTTACAAGGGCTCAGTGGACTGCTTCAAGCAGGTGCTGTCGAAGTACGGCATTAAAGGACTTTACCGAGGATTTACTGCCACTGTGTTGCGAGACATGCAGGTGCGGTGTGTACGTGTGTGTGCGTGAGTATGTGTGTGTACGTGTGTGTATGTGTGTGTACGTGAGTGTGTGTGTACGTGTGTGTATGTGTGTGTACGTGAGTATGTGTGTGTACGTGTGTGTATCTGCATGATGCTGTTCATTAGCAATATTCCACGACTCCCTATCTACCTAATATGACGTGCGCTTCTATCTAAATGACGTACACATGAGCTCAGAGGAAGTGTTCTTGTAAAAGGAATTGCGCAACGTGGCGGCTTGGGGAGGAGGTTAGATGGGTGGGAGCAGGTCATGAATTGGGAAGTCGTGGTCGCGTGCTCAGTGCACGCGGCTCGCTGGATGAGGCAACCAGCGGCCGGTTCCCGCCCTTGCATCCGCAACAACAACCCCCCACATCAACAGGGCACATCAATCAAATCTGTTGTGCAATGAATGGCCCCAGTTCAGCTCCGTTCAATGAGCCGTTGCCCGTTTGCCCGTTTGCTTTCCTCCACACGCACCTGTGACGTTTGCTGGGTCTCTCACTCACCCAAACCCTTGCTGCATACATACATCCCCATTTCGCTACATACAAAAGCTGCTGACTTAAAAAATGAAAAAGATGTTATATTATTATTATTATTATTATTATTATTATACCTGATCTGTCTTGTGCTTTGTTGACGTCTTGTCTCAGGGCTATGCATGGTTCTTCCTGGGCTACGAGTCGACTGTGAACTACTTCCTGCAAAAGGCAGGCCCAGGGCTGCACAGCAAGGCCGACCTCAACTACATGCAAGTCATGTCTGCGGGTGTGGTGGCGGGTTTCGGACTGTGGGGTTCCATGTTCCCCATCGACACCGTCAAATCAAAGCTGCAGGTGCGATGAATGCGGAATGGAATCATTCCTTGGACGCTCAGCTGCGTCCCCCCCCCCCCCCGTTAGGATTGCCGGGAATTGCATGTATGCACACACCGAGATATTTTTACTGCATTTTCTCATCGAGACCCTCCGGCACGTATCTTCGCTTCGTCTGTATGTGTATGCCCCTGGGCCGTCCCCTCGCCCCGCTGTGTGTGTATGTGTGTATGTCCTCCACAGTTCTCACACTTCCTACCCGCCTATCATCCGCAGTATATATCCCCCAACAGCTCAGCCCCGTGTAAAGCTCATGTAGTCACACACCCACGCAACCACTCCCAACGCACGCATACTCGTCTATGTCGTGTCGACCCTGCAGGCTGACACGCTGGCCACGCCTCAGTACCGCAGCACTTACGACTGCCTGTCCAAAGTGCTCAAGTCCGAGGGCCAGGCCGGCCTCTGGCGCGGCTTCTCGGCCGCCATGTACCGCGCCATCCCAGTCAATGCGGGCATTTTCCTGGCGGTGGAGGGCACCCGACAAGGTATCAAGTGGTATGAGGAGAATGTGGAGCACTTATACGGAGGCGTTGTTGGCCCGGCCACTCCCGCCGCCACCAGCTAAGGGCCATCGAGCGGTACGGGGGCATGGATGATGGGTGGATGATGGGTGATGGGCGGGCCGGCACGCCCGCATGCCTGCGAGACGGGGGAGGATGCATGGTGAAGGTTTGGGTTGGGTACTCCTGGTTGAATGGTTGGGGGTGAGAGGCGATAGGGGCCGCCAGCCTGGATGCCTCCGGAAAAGAGAAATGAGATTGGTACAGGTTTGGGTACCGTATCGGCGGCTGCAATGCAAAGGTACGGCCGGTGGGGTAGACGAGCCCCGAGAGATGCGGTTGCAGCAGCGCGATGATGGCGGCCTTTGGATGGCCAGGTGCATCTGCTGCTGGCTTTTTGGCTTATTCTATTTAGCAAGTGCCATGTGCTGGATGCTTCTTTTTATTTTGTACTTTAGTTGCTGATCTGACCTTTTTTTCGCAACTCGACGGCTTTGGGTTTTTCCGGAAAGTGGATTTGGCAGGGAGAGGGAGGGAGAGGGAGTTATGGAGAGAGGTAGGAAGAAGTAGGAATGGGCATGAGAGAGATATGTTAGGGTGGGCTCGCCATCGCGAATGGAAATCCCTCAAAACCGTGAGATCAGAAGATATGCAGCAGGTCTGGTTTGCAGCTTTAATGAAGTGCAGACAGGCAGCTTGGAGGACGGTTGGGGTGGTTGTTGGTTGTTGGTTGGTCGATCCTGTGTGCCGTTTCAGTTGAGTTTTACCACGAGCGTCCTCATATGCTCTTTTGAGTTACATCGCAATTTGCAATGCGGTGCAACCTGTCTCCGCGGAGTCGGGTTGAGCTGTTGCGCAAAAATTATATGACTAAAGCGTCGCATTGGATATGTCTGCTGCGGCAGGCATGCAAAATACTTCTGAGGGAGAAGTGGATGTTTTAGCGAAGAGTGGTGAGGGAATGCGGCGACTGGATGTACAGAGTCGGAAGGCTGCAGGGAGCACAGTGAATTTGAGACTGTATAGTGGCGAAAGTCTGAAATGAATGCAAGCTGATATGGTTCCGAAGTGGATATTTGCGCGAAGCGTGATGTGGCTGTGTTTATCTTGAACTAAGTCTATCTGCAGTTGAGGACTGTACTGCACGTGTACTGAGTACATGAAGGGTCTGCAAATCGGCGCTGAGGGCGGGCTGTGGTTCGTTGTGAGAGTGTGAGCATGTACAATTTCGCTTTACAAGTGCATTTTAAAATTTGGAAAAACAAATCGATGCCGTATCCAAATCGGAAGCTACAAATAGCAGCGTATTTTATAATTGTACGCCGTACTGCAAATAGTTCTGCTGTGCGCTCTCCTAATCTCTTACTTTTATTTCTTTTAGATCTGCTAGATTTGGTTGGATGCTGGTGGTGAGTTGCTGAACCCAACGAATACATTCTGAAGCCGGATGGGGTGAATGGATTAGGGTGCCCCTCTCGCAGGGGAGAGCAGGGAACTGCCTCGGGAAAGCGGGCCGCTGGTGAAGCTATACCACCCTGTAACAACGTACATACATACATCCACCTCTCCATTGTCCGCAACCGGTGCAAGCAAAATCTTTATCAGATTTCGACATGTTTTCCCATTAAAATTACAGCTACGAAGCCAATGAAACCAATCCGTACGGTTTGGGAATTCCTTGTTGGACCGTTCGTTAGCTAACGTCAAATGTAAGACTCATGACAAGCCTCGCCCAACTCAGATGGGAATGGAAACGTCGTCATATTATCATATCATCCGCCCGTCTACCTGACTACCCCCCGCGGTGCAGCCCACAGACGGATCCATCTAGCTCGCCAACTTGGCGGCCCCCACTACCATCACCACTGGGTCCGCTATTCATATGCCGTCAAAGCTGGAACGTGCCGTGACCCTCTGGAACCTTTGTACGGCAACCCTGTGCATGTGGCTAAATATGTAGATATATAGATATGGCTTCGGTGAATTGCGGGGCTTGAAAACGCAATCCTTTACATTGCGTGCATAGCTTCCGGGTGTGTGTGGATCAGTGCGGATATAGTGCAGATGCACCCCGGGTTTTATCTGTAGATGCTGCAGGCTTTTGATTCAAGGTGTTCAAACGCGGTATCCCGCTTTCTGCCGTGTCGTACTACACGGTACTGCAGAAACCTGTCAGGGTGTGCAACTTTCGTTCTGCCTGCTTCTTATGTTTCCAGTTTTAGTTCATTTTATCATGTACCCGCTGTAGAATTGGATTAAGGGTTACTTTTATATGCGCGCTTGCGTTGCCATCGCCTCGCGCCTGAACGGCATTGTGTGTTTCCGTGTCACGGCACCCAGCTGGATTAGGACTGGGCCCCCCATGCCAAAATTAAGGTTACAGTCACACGACGACGACGACGACTGCAAAACAGCAGCAGCTACACGATAAAGATTACGACACGGCCAACAGGATTAGGATTTGGACCGGGGTAAGGCCTCGAGGTTTGCGGCACTGGCGGGCAGGATTAGAACTGGGATACTGCAGCGGAATTTGGATTACAACCACCCGCCCCTAGGAGATGGATAAGACCAGACCACCGCTCTAGGATGACGCATGATGAGGAGTGGTACAGCGCTCTCTCAGAGGACTCAGGCTGACCCGCACCCGCCTCATCGAGATGAACCTTACGTTCGCAAAAGGGCACCCGTGCGTATTACCAGGTCTCGTGAACACGGCGTGTTCGCGCAATAAGCTACAAGATGATGATAGACTGAAGAAATGCATTTCATCTATTAAGATCCATGCACCTGAAGAAATGCATGCACCTGAAGAAATGCATTTCATCTATTAAGATCCACTTTAGGGGCTGTAGCGGTTGCTGCAATGTCCGTCTGCTGCACGACACATAGACACCTTGAGTGCCTACTGTTCTTAAACCCGGATGGTTCCACTGAGCTGATAGGTGCGATGGAGAACTTCTGCAGCTTTTTGCCTTTTGGCCGGCAACAGGGTCAGGCAACGAGAGATGGAGCACACTCGACAGGGAGAGTGGCAGCCCGTTTGGCCTTTGTTTGCTCGTCGGCATCTGTCAGCATATGCCCTTAATCGTTAGCGCAAAAAGGGCAGTGATGACGGAAACATGTATGCTTCAACAAACTCGAGCATCGTTCAGCAAAATGGTGGCAACAAACGGAGTGTACATGGCGGAACACATGAACATAAGGCACAGCTTTATTTGTGCTTAAACTGTACGACGACGACGCTCTTGAAATCAGAAAACCAGCACATGTCGTCACATAAGAGGCGCTTGCATCAGCAGCTGTCCTCACTTCATGCTGCAAACCTTTCAAATCGTTTTATATCATTCAGCAGAGTCTTCCGAGCTGAAAAGAAAAGCTTCAACAAGCGCTCCTAATAAAATATGCTTTATCGACACCGGAAAAAAAGTTGATCTTCGTTCCAGACCTGCCTCCAAACCCCGAAAAACGCAATTTATACTATAGCGCAAGCAAGCTGGATCCAGAGAAAGACACACAAGCAAATGCTCGGAATGAATCTACAACTAGCGCAAACTCCCCACCGGACTGCGATCGCAGGCATGTTGCCATGTGTGACATCCCACATATATTTCTCCTCACAAGCACCACGCAAAAGCAAAACGTTAAAAAACAGCGAACACGCCACGCTTTATGAAACACACCACTTGCCCCCCCACCCTCTTCCTCTTCCCACCCATCCACTGCCCTCGCACCCCAAATCCTCCATTTCACCCGCCGTACAAAATATAACTGGCAATGATGACAAGCGTAAAAGGCAACATCAGCTCCCCAGCTGCACAAAGTCGCGTGTGTCTCCTCCTAGACCACGGAAAGGCAGAACGCGGTGCAGCAACGTGCGGCCGTGCCACCTCAAAGAAACAGGCCCTCTCCGTCTTCTCCTCCGTCCACCCTACGGCCCGGAGAAAACGGCAAGGCCAGACCACTGCAACTTCAGATCACATGAGATAAAGCCATGTGAGCGCGCGCGAGAACACATACAACACAACAACACATACAAACACACATCACCACTTGCTTCGATTACGTTACTCGTATGCCATCTTCCTCCCCATTTCCACCTCCTAGCTTAGGGGTCAGGTCAATCCACCTAAACACACAGTCAACTAAACACTCGCCGAGGCAAACAGAGATCAGTTTTGTTCATTGAGCACACGACAAGACCCGTGGTGTACACAGTCGCGCCACTGGCAGCTGCAGTTCCCGTTCCTTTCCCGTTACGCTTAAACGTTCTGCATATGTCTGTCTGTCTGTCTGTCTGTCTGTATGCATGTATGTATGTAAAGGCAGCGAAAAGCCCCCTAGGATGCTCACGTAGTGATTCAATCCTCCTCCTCCCGCTTTGCCTGGCCTCGTCAGTTACCATAAGTTACGTAACTCCCAACTCCCAACCAACCGTGGAGGTAGGTTCCCATATACGTCAATCTCGTAACCTTGGGCTGTACCGCCAATCTCCGTACACCACAGCGGCAGCGGCGATGACGACGGCAGCAGTACCGACGACGGCAACGGCGATAGCAACCACCCGAAGTTTTGACCTGGCGTATCCGTTTTACTGATACACACGAACGTGTAAGTGTCGGTACGAGCTTGTTTTGTTATTTTAATTAAAGCAGAGACCAGAATGATGATGATGATGAAGAAGAAGATGGAGAAGTGCCTGGAGCAGCTGCCAGTCAACGGGGTCCGCGCTCTGCCCTCCTGTACGGGCAACCATACCCAGTGCGCCATGCGCCGTGTAACGCTCGGCGCGCCCCGCAGGGCCCCCTGCTGCCTCCAGCGTGTTGCCCCTCCAGCGTGTTGCCCCTCCAGCGTGTTGCCCCCCCCACCACCAACACCACCACAACAGCATCCTCGGCTCTGAAGTAGCACCGGAACCTAACCGCCGTCTTTGCCAGCAACAACAGCAGCAGCAGCAGCACCGCCGCCGCCGCTTCCACCGCGGCCGCCGCCACCGCCGCCCGACGACCCGCCGCGACTTCCAGCACCGCGCTGCTGTTGCTGCTGCGGCTGTTGCTGCTGTTGCTGCGGCTGTCTGGATCCCCTTCCGCTGGGGTCCTGGGGCCGCGCGTCGGCCGTCTCCGCGGCTTCTGGTTCCGGAGCTGGTTCCGGCAGGGCTTCCAGCCTTAGCCAGGTGGTGAACATGGAGCCCTGACCGATGATGTCCAGGCGGCCGCGGGGGGAGAGCTGTAGCAGCGGGTCATCTGGCACGGGTTTTAGGGTTTTAGGGATGGGAAAACAGTGGGTTTTAGCGCGAAGTAGGGGTGATTAAGTGAGGGAGTGCATATATAGGGTTTCGGGTTTTAGGGTATTCATTAGGGTTTTTATAGGGTCTATACTGTTGGGTTTATGTTCTAGGGTATTCATTGGCTCACCCGTCCCAATGGGCCCAACTTCGCCGCGACCCATGGGTCACCTACTCAATGATGAATCACGCCGATCTAGCTCCATCATAACTATTGCTACACTTCTTCTGAAATAGCCGTACGCATCCTGTCCAACTGAAAAACTCCAAAGACAAACCAACGGGACCCATGGGTCCGCACCGCGACCGACCCGGGGGTCGAACCCGCGCACGACCGACTCATGGGTCACCCAGACCGCGACTCACTCGCTTTTGTGAGCAGCTCCGATGTTCTATCTGACACGTGGATCGCCATAGCCCGGGAGGTGGCCTCCATGAAATAGGCCACATCCACGACATCACCTGAGGGAATGAAGCCGGGGGCAGAGAGTACGACAATGAAGGACAGAAAACTAGCTAGAAGGAAAAACCCCCAGACGGATACTCGGAGTCGGGGAGAAGAGACGAATGCCATGGAGTGAGGGCACAGGTAGGGGGCATGGAAATGAAAAAAATCCTAGATGGGCAGGAATGCCGTGAAGAGCGTCTGTATGTGCCTGTGTCTGTCTGTCTGTCTGTCTGTCTGCGTGTTGTCTTTTTGTTATACCGTGAGATAAACTTTTCGCAAGGTAACATCAGTGTGCCGTACGAAAGAACAAGCGACGAAATAGGAAACGAAATAGGAAACAGACACCACTTGGCAGTTAGCCCCAATCTGTTAGTCAGTTATCAGTTAGTTACTTGGCACGTGGCACGTGGAGGGCGAAAAGAAGTTTTTCCTTTCTCCACTTTTCCGTACCTCTACCCCACCGTTACCCCACTTTTCACCCGCCGAATATAACCAAGCAACCGCGATCCCCGCCCCTCTCTCTTGCCCTCTTGCGGGGCCGGGTGACACACACAACCCATACGGAGGCTGCTCCCCCAGTGACATAACCCGCAGCGATACCTAACCCTAAGCTGTAGCTCTAGCTGTACAAACGTACGTATGTACGAATGTACGACTGTATTGTACGACTTAACCAATTGTATGATTTCACGACCGTGCCTTCTTGCGCAATGCCGCATATATCCCTAATCGGTCAGTCCAGGCTGCTGCTTTCCTCAAAAGGTGGAGGAGGAGGAGGAGGAGGAGGAGGAGGCGGAGGAGGAGGCGGAGGCGGAGAGTACGTTGGGAGGAATGGGCTCCACCGAAAACTCACCGAAAAGTGAAAATCGCGGCATCTTTGAACCCACCACCGCCGCCGCGGCCGGACCTGCAAAGAGGGGCCAGGTTCAAAAGGAAATTCGGACGGGCGGGAAGCTGGATGATGGGGCGCAGGTCGATTTCCTTCCTCTCACGAAAAGAACACCGGGGCTGTCTTTCCGAGACATAACTACCTAGCATGATGATGCAAACGGATGACCGAATTCCTCTCACCAGCCTCACGACAGCGGAAGTGCGACAGGGGGTGCGTGTGTGTGAGGGGCAAGAACACACCAGGGGCACGGCCACCTCCAAACCCGCTCAGCTCATCACACCCGCTCAGCTGATTCCCCGACAGACCGCCCGGACTCGCCCCATCTAGACAACACCCCTTCCCCCCTCCCTCTCTCTCCCCTCCCCCCTGCACCCCGTCTTTTCCCCATCTTCCCCCTCTCTCCTCTCTCCTCGCCTTCCCTTTCCCCTCCCGCCGCCAAAAATATTTCAAACCCCTTTTTCCCCCTTCCCCCCGGGTGGATGCACTCACCGGAATGCAAACCCACACGAATCTGGACGCGGAAGCCCCCCACGCCCCGAAACCGCGATGTGGCCAGCACCAGGTCCCGGGCGCATGCAGCCACACGGGTCGCCACCGTCACCGGCTCGTCAGGTGTGGGACAGCCGCCCACACACAGGAAGGACTCGCCTGTATGAGGGAGCGTGGGTGGTGTGTATGATGTGTGTGGGGGGTTTGGGGTTGTGGGGGGGGGGAGGGGGGGAAGGACGAACCACGAACGAGTGAAGCTGCTGCCCCAGGGCAAGAGAGTACCCGGGTGCGAGGGGGGGTGCGTGCGTGGGTGTGGGGTGCAAGGCGCAAGCTATCAACAGGGACGCCTGCTGTAACGGTATGTGTGTGTGTGTGTATGTGTGCGTTACATATCGATCCGGGCCTGGCACTGGCCAGTATGTACGTAAGCATGTATGCATCTCTTACCGCTTCTACGAATGCGAACCAAGCCGTATTTCTCAATAATCGATTCGTACATCGCGTGTACGTCATTCAGCAGCTTGACTACCTGCGTGGCACCATCACCATCACCATCATCATCATCAAGTGCGGAAGTGCGGAGGGAAAGAATTAACTGAAACAACTAACTCCTGGGGTGGAAAAGTAGGAATGCAAAACTTACGGAAGAGAAGTCGTACTATATTGCCGTACTGTCGTACCGTATTTGATAATGCTGCCGTACATACCTCCAGGGTGGGTACTGAGTCTCCCTGCTGCGGCTTGGCGGTGGTGTACCGTACGACATCCGCGTACAACACCGTAACACAGTCGAAGTGTTGGTAGTAATTGGATCCGGTGCCCAGGACGCGGATAACCTGTGCGAGCGGTTGGTGGTGGTTGGTTAGTTGGGTTGTTGATGGTTGGAATGGTTGAGGGGATGGGCGTCCAAGGGTAATCAAGGGTATGCGCTGATGATGACATAGGTGCTAGCTAGCCCGCAGTAAGAAAGCTGTCAAGCTGTGAATCGAAAACGGCCGTCGCAATCACAAACACTAACTCACAGTTACAAAAGTAGCGGTTGAATTTCAGTTACAGCACAAAATACGATGACGATCAGGACAAAATCAGGAAAAGAATTGTGTGTAGCTACATTCGTCCGAACGCCCATATACACTTTTCCTCACGGTTGTCGTACATACACACGTACACACGTACACGACGTACCTTTTCCGGCAGCATCGCCTGCAGCATGGCCATATGGCGCCAATAATTGAAGAGCATCGAGAAGAAGAACGCGCTCAGCACCAAGGACGCCACAACAGTCGCCGCGATCAGGGGCCCCTCCCAGGCGGTTTGCCAGGCTGTTAAACAGCATTCCATTCAAGATGGAGTTGGGGGGATGGATGGGTCGAAGAAGCGCGGGTTTGGCGCGGGTTTGGGCGGGCCGCGGAGCCCGATCAAAACATGGTGACTTCTAGGTCTGTTCGTCTGTTTTCGGTCAGGGACGCACCCGATAGGGCGGCTGTACCCTGAAGCGGGTCGCGGAATGTCAGTAGTAGTTGTAGTTGGGAGTAGTTGGAGAGGGGCAATGTCAACCGTTGTGGTGGTTAGTGGGGAGGAGGGCGACACAGACAACTAGCTAGGTGGGGGTACGGCAGGGCTGAGGGACCGCAGCATGGTAGGGGTGGTAGAGGCAGTAGCGGGTGATAGGGTGGTTGTGGGTGGTTGTGGGTGGTTGTGGGTGGTTGTGGGTGGTTGTTGTGGGGCATTGACACCCGTATGTTACCAATTTGCTGAACTCACAAAGGGACATTTCGCAGAGAAGCCGGGAGAGGTGCAAATGCAGAGATAAAAAATAAACAAAGCGCATGGAGAGAGATATGGATACACCTACAGATGTACGTACAGATGCACGTACATATATGCGTGTGTGTTAGGGTGTGTGTGTTTTTCGATCGCACCGTCATCGTGATCGACAAGCAGCTCCGCCCCCGTCTCTGCCACCGCAGCCGCAGACCCCGACCGCGGTCCTGCTAGCCGTACGGGTACGGCTGCCGTACCCTGCCGTGCACGTGGCGGCGGTGCACTGGCCGCTATGTCCACCCCCTGAGATCCGCCACTGCCGCTGGGAAGTACGGTGAGCCTGAAACCAACCAGGAAAGCAAACAGCCACAGTATGCATCTTCATACATGCATACTTACATGCATACTTACATACATACATACATACATACATACATACATACATACATACATACATACATACGCATGCGCGACACATACACACACAGACTCCTCTTTTTGGAAGGGTTTTGCTTGCTGTTTTTAACGCTTTTGTTCTCCAAAATGTTGCTAGTGCTTCCACTCTTCAGATTAGCCCCGTACGATTCAACAGTATCCGTACGGAAAGAAGTGCTGCGAGACCAGATATGTGACATCGACGTTCATGCTGGAACGAGCTTAAGGTCCGAGCTGGGGTGTCGTACACACACACACACACACACACACCGCAGCGTTCAGACAGCCGGCACAAGGCAAACGCAATAGCCCAGCCCAGCCACGCATGCAGTGCCGAGATGTTCAAAACCCCCCGCGCCGTACATCCGATTCCGTACGCCGTACCTGTACTGATAATTCTTGTCCGACAGGCCTTGTAGTCCCGTATCGGGGCTGTTAGCCAACGCATTGAGCGAGCCCAAGGCCACAACAAAACCCCACAGCTTGGTTTCGGATCTGTACACGCACACGGTTATCATCAAGTCGTACGGCAGTTGTACGGCAAAAAGGGCACGGGGGAGCACAGGGCAACGATTACGAGGTCAATGGAGCATAAGGTTAAGCCCACGCCAGTACCGTGTCAGGATAGAGGCGGAGGGAGGAGCGGAGGGAAGAGGTCGCTGACAAGATTTGCTGAGTGTGTTCCTGTGTCACACGCTCCTTAATTAACAGACACAATACCACGACGCCACAACGGCAACCGTCCCCCTCATCCTCCTCCTCCCTCCCCTCCCCTTCCCCCTCCCCAATCCATGCTCCTCTGCCCCCCCATTACTTCGTTCCCAACCCCAACTATCTCCCTACTTCCACCCTCCCCCCCCCTCCATTCCCTTTCCTCCCCTCCTCCGTTCGTGGTTGGTCTTTCTCCCTTTCGGAAGAGCACCAGCAGGAGGGCGAGGAGAGCTCGCGGTGGGTGGGTGGGAGGTGACGAGGACAGCTCGCAGGGCCCCGCGGGGAGAGGAATGGCGCCAAAGAGGGCAACATCGGAATCTTTTCAACACCTGCCTCCCCTTCAAACCCCGTCCCGGGTACCTCCAACACCCCCACGCCACGCCACGCCACGTCACGCAACAAAACCCAACGCACGATCCTACAGCGGCTCGGCCCACCTGGAGTCATAACAGGCTCCGGAGCCACATATCCTGTTTAGGACATCATTCGATAAAGCGTTACCCCAGGTTTCCCCCGCGGTCACCCCGGTCACATAGACAGGATGGTAAACGGCGACCAGCACCTCGGAACGGCCGTTGGCAGTGGTTGTGGCGATTGTGATGGTGGTTGCAACGACCGGCAACTGCAGCGCAAAAATAAGGAATTATGGTTCTCGGTCAGTTCTGTCTGTCGGCGGTATGACAGTGAGTGCGGATGCATTGACGGGCCCCCTTGGAAACCGCGTGCCTGCTTGCAAGATCACGGGTTGCCTAAAGAGGAGGCATGTTGTAGACGTGTGTTTGTGAGTGCATGTGGCTTAAAATGATACGGGCCGCCGCCCGGACAGCGGTTGACGCAAGGGGTGGGGGGCACCGTCACCGCCACCGCCACCTACTATGGGGGAACCTAGGGGGGCCCCCCGGGTGGCGGGGACCCGCACTTGTGTTTTGCGTGTGTACGTCCTACCTAGCCGGATTGGCAGCTAGCCGTTAAGATGTTGCTAAGGCTGTGCGTTCCTTAAGAACAGGTACCCGAGTGCTCGGTGTGTGTGTGTGTGTATTGTACTACGACTGTTCTTGTAGTAGAGGTTCGGGGCGAGTGTCCGCTGTCCGGAGCGAACACGCCTGTTGTGATGAGTGTTGTGATGGGTGTTGTGATGGGTGTTGCAAACATGCAGGAACCTGGAACCACCCTGGATGGCAGGGCGCTGTCATCAACGTCACGTCAGCTGACGTGATGCTGAAGTGAGCGTGCGGCGCTCCTCCCCTCCGACGCCGTCACCCACCACCACCTACCTGCTCTTGAACTGCAAGCGCTACCGCCGCCGCCGCCGCCGCCACCGTCCCCTCCGCGCCCCGTTGATCCAGTAAACTGCTCCCAACCGAAAACAGGCCACTGCTGCTACCACTGCTAGCGCTGCTGTCAACCGGTGACGTCAGCAGCGAGTACGACGCGTTGACGGTACCAAACGGCGCCAGCAGCACCTGCCGCAGCACTTGCGCAGCCGTCGTGGGCGCCTCCGCCTCCGTCGTCGTCTGATGGGTGTAAGCCCATCATGTAGCAGCATCACGGCAAATTGCGAATGCAGCGAAGACGGAGCATTATGTAGTGTCCCGTGCGATTGTAGGGTTGCGTTTACGGCTGTTGGAATGTGACCGACACTCGTATACGAAGAATGGTAGCAGCAGTAATGGGACCCGGGGAGGGGGTCCAAGGCGCTTTGCTGTGTTTAACAACGACACCCAGACACAGGGGAATGACACCCGGGAGGTTGGGTTGGGTTGGGTGGCCATTCCTGCCCTCCTCCTCCTCCTCGTACCCGTCCCCCTCTTCCTCCGCCTGCTCCTCCTCCCTCGCTCAAAGTCCCCCCCGGCACTTCTTCGGAACTCCCTAACTAACTCCCTAACTAACTAACTTCCCACCTGCCGCCCGGGCAGTAGTCGGGGCAGTAGCGGCGGCACAGCGAGGCTCAGCACCGCCATACTAGGCTGTTGCCGCACCAAAGACGCCAGCGATGCCGCCGGTTGTAGCATTTGCGTGTCCAAAACAAGCTCCAGCATGGAGGCCGCTTGCCTGGCCACCGTGGCAGTGTTGTCCTGATTAGGAAACGGGGGGACAAGGAAGGGAAGCCGCCGTACGGCCCAACACGTATGGCATGCATCAGCAACGGGGGGGGGCTGAAATGTCACTGCGGCAACTCAAAGCGCTGATTGGAGAAACTCGCTCTCTCTCCCCTCTCTTCCTATATCTGTCTGCCCCACCCGTCCACTGCATTTTTGGAAAAAAAAGGACCGGACCAACCATACATGCAACATACATACATACAAACATTCCACACGGCACTGAGTGGGTGTGCTTTATGCGTGCTCTGAAGATTTGAGCCGGGGGGCCCGGGGAAATGGAGGGCCGATTGGGGGCCAGTGCGAACCACTGGCGAGTGAAGCAGATACCAGAAACGAGGAATAGCACAGACATGCGGCCTTCTGAGATATCTGGGGCCGCCTTCTTCTCGGAAACGAGGGCTGCCAGAACACCCACTGGGATTTCGATATCCTTCGTCGTTATCATCATCATCATCATCACCACCATCATCATCATCTTCTTCTTTTCCTTCTTTATAATGAGGGGTAACAAGAGCCCACAATTGAGCTTTGATACGGACGGGGCCCGATACGGAACGGACAAGGACTGACCGGTGGACACAGCATACACGCCCATCATCATTTTTTAACTCCCCCTCCTCCCGACCTGCCGTATACTATTGCCATATGTGCCTTGCCATGTCGTACCCGTGCGTGTTGCTCGGCATGCTGCGCAGCTATAACCACTCCCGCAACCCCTCCGGCGATGCAAGCTACCAGAAGCAACAGAGGCGCCACGACAACTGAGGGATGGCGGCGGGCGACCTCCACAACCGTCTGACGTTTGAATTCGAATTTGAAATTTGAAAGGGAATATGGAGGGGTTGGGGGACGGGCATGCGGAGATCAAGGAAATGCGTCCTGTGGGGATGCGTCCTGCTCTGTCAACACGTCGGCAACACGTCGTGGACGGTAATCGGAGGAGCCAGCGCAATGGTGGCGAAGTGTCGCCTTCTTCTTCCATGGTGAGTGCAGGAGGACTGGGGTGCCCACCCAGGGGCAAAACCCCTGGCGGCGGATGGTCGCCTCTTTGCCCTCGCTGGTGTAGCGGGGGTGATATGTGAACCACCGAGGTGAATGCACTCCCCCCCCATGTCATCGCCACGCCGGGACCATAACCCCGTCAGGCCGGCCGCACCCGCTCTTGGTTCCAAATTTTAGTTGGACTAATCCTTGGCAGTACGGGGAGTTATATAGAGATCTTTTTAAGAGGCACCGTTATTTATGTACTCCGCACCCGGTTCTCCGTCCCCCGTCCTTCACTAAACCCCTTCTCATTTTCGCCCACCTAGTCCATTCTTTTCTTCAAAATGTAATGGGCCCAACCCCCTTCCACAGTTCACCTTACGATACGCTTAATCATCAATCAGGTACCCCTTCTAAGCAAAACGAGTCTACCAGCATCACCTTCAACCAGTAGACCAGAGTGGAGCGGGCGTCGCAAGCAATTCCGTTCGCAGGCTCCTGACCTGGTGTATCCACCGCTGACCAAAAAGCCCGCCGACTTTGCCATCGCATAAGCCCGCTTGTAGCTTGTTTAAAATAGCTGCTGCTTTGGTGGAGAAGGCTGGTCTGTTTGGAAAGGGCGACTTCTTTGGCATCGGCCTTGTTGCTTTGAATTGAATTGCGCGCAAAGTCACTTGTATGGACATAGACATTTTGCTGGGATGAGCGATCCGCAGCCGTGAACAGCGGCTCGTAAGGAGGCTCGCTCGGCTCAGCCATCGCTATCCACAGTACGGATACAGGGATCTGATTTGCCTAATGCGAAAAAATACTATACAGATAGAAACAAATACTATGAGGAGGACAGTGGCCTTGAACAGCTTAAGTCGTAGGAGGGTCTGCGAACGTAGGAGGTTGTGGGCAGGTTTGCATGCTTGTAAGTCATGTCGGCAATCATAAGAGATATTCCAAAATCTATAGGCAGGTCCAAGTTTGCAGACCGTATATGCTTAAATTTGGCGAGTGCCGAGAAAGCGGGATAGTACGGCACAGGCAGCTTTATTAGTGATATGGCGAAGGTTGGCTCTTGGTCGGATAACCTGCTTTGTAGACATTAGTCCTAGGTATTTCATGTGACAACATCGGTTATCATAGAAATCTCGACTGATCCTGCGTTAATAATGCTTGGTCGGTGGCGGTTGCCTGCGTACGAGACCATATACATAGAGCTTTTTACTGAGCACATCATGAAAGCCAGCAATTAGGTTCTTCTCAAATGAGGCACTTTTTGATTTCTGTAATGCCGTAGCTGTCGAAATTTTGACCATGTGGAAAAGCAAAGAAGGCAAGGAGCGGTTTCACCGAAGGATATTACAAGCTCGACAAACAAGGGCTTATTAAACGAAGCCGCTGAGCCATGCTTGTCGTCATTGCAGACGTGGATAAACTTCTTAGGTAGACTACCTGTTCGTATCAACGTACACTGCATAATTCACTTTATGTAATCTTTTTTTAAAACAAGTATTTCACAAAGGGCATTTAGGTGTGACAAATTTGCGAGTTGGGAAACCGCTCCCCATACGCGGCTCTTGTGTACACGTTCGATTGCTGATGGTGCGCGAGGCGGTGCGGCTTGGCAATAGAACATGTTTTGGCGTCGCACGCACATGGTTTGTAAAAATGCGGGCATGAACAAGTGGCGTTGCGCGGCACACACGGCAACACTTCATGAGCGCTGTGAGGGATGCACGCGCGCGCACACGCACGCACACGCACACACACACACACACACATTCGTACACACACATACATACATACACACACACACATACATACACACATACATACACACACATACTTGCAAGTGTTCACTAACTTCCACAATTTCCAAACACGACGCCAATACGATCGATCGATCACCATTAGAAGCTGAGCCAGCAAGAACTAGCACGAACATTTCGTTGCTCTTCTCTTCTCTTTAGGACGTACGAAAGCGTTAATAAAGGCGCAGCTTCGAGTGAAATATTATTCACTTTGCTGCATTCAAATATAACCAAAATAAAAGCAACGACGGCGGTTTTATGATGTGGGCGAAGCATTGATAGAAGACCGCTCATGTCACCCAGGACACCACCTCCAAATCTTTACGCACGCATCAATCCAGTCCAATCTCAGCATGGCTGAGTTCGAGGATCAATGGATTCGCGCAGGAAACTTCTCGTCATTGTCTGCACTAAGGGTGATAGGTAACAGATTGTGCACCAACCATAAATCGAACCAGCCTATATCAAACGAGCATACAGTACCGGTACAACTTTGGAGGTACATGTCGATGTACGGGAAATTGGGCTACGTGCGAGTAATAACCCCCCTAACTTAGGGGCCCTAAGTGTGCGTGATGATGAGTAATGCTACATGCCAACCACATACACCACACAAAATCAACCAACCAGCACAGATAGTACGACACTCCCCTGACGTACATTCCAAACTCTTGTGGGGCCTCGCGCGAGTGAGTGCACGGACGCATGGCGGAAACTCTACATTTTTTTCGACTTTCGTATGATTCTACCAGGTAATGCGATTTCGCTCGGTGCTTTGCTGCGAGCAGCCCGACAGGCTCACTATATATATATATATATATATATATGTGTGTGTGTGTGTGTTACATGGTCGTGGGGGTGCGTTCCCCGTACCTGCAAACCGCCCTAATACGAGCCGAGGGCTCAAGGGCTGCCAGATCGCCTATAAGCACACCATCCTACCTCGCACTTCAGACAGAGCAAGTGATAAAGGATACTAACGACCAAAGGGAACGATATAGAGTTGCGGTGGGACCGTGATATACGCTTCAGCTCCTTGCCAGGCGTTCAGGTTCCCACTTCATAGCGTCCTTCATATGCTCGAAGCGTGGGAAATCCATACCAGATCTGATTTTGTCGTACACCGGGCAGTCCAGAGAGAAGCAAAATGTGCTTCTCATCCTCGCTATGGCTATCACTGCCGCAGCAGGGGCATACTCGCTCCTCTCTAAGTATATAACGCCGTCCCTGTAACGCTTACTGTATCCAGGCGGCCGATCGAAAAAACTAGATCCAAACCCTAAAGCCGCCGCCACGCAAATAGCGTCTAAGCCAAAAGTCTAGATTCTGCCAAAATCGTCCGCACCGACCAAAGTTAAGCTTAGAAAACCCTAAGACCAAACCAGACGCGAAACAATCCAACAAAGTTCTCGAGGATTACGTACTCACGAAGCATTACAAGCCGTCCAACCCCGCCTGCTGACATTTGAAACAGGGAGGCAGGTGTACAGGAGATCGCGGCCAAAGTGGGTGCGTAACACGCAAAGATGCAAATTATTATTTCACACCAAAAGGACGCGTACACGTCACACAGAAGCTGACGCGCATTCTACGCGCACTACACACAAAGGCCCTGGGATGTTGCTTTTGGCAACTCACAAACGGGGGAAAAAGGATATACCTGCAGACTGCGAAATAATACATGCAGCAAAACATATACGTATGCTCCTTGTTGAGAAATCCTTCGACCTGGCGGGGCACACGCGACCACTAAAATCCGCTTCGAAGTTATCATACATCAGAAAATACGGGAGAATCGCACGCGCGTGAAGATAGACCGGAATAGAAGCGCGATCCCTGCCTTCTTCATTCCGCCGTTCCGTCCCACTTATTAACCAAAACAATACTCCAACGTCATTCCACTTACCAGCTATCTTAATAACAACAACTGCGGCGAAACTGTATCACGTATGGCTCATGGCGACAACGGGCGCAACGGTATATGCACAAATATACTGTATTTTACAAGGCCGTACATACAGCCGATTACATAATTACCACCATACATCAACCCAAATGCTATCGCTCATCACAACCAACAACACAAATTCAAATCCACTAACAACGGTGCCGCTTTTCCCACCTTACACTCCGATCGCGCGCCGTTCAAAATAATAAGTAAAACGCACCAAGGATTGTGAAAAAGGAGGCACCAGGATTATTGGCGCTTGCTTCTCCATAGGCAGGCGCGCGCATATTGGACTTTTTAGCGCAATAACAACTTATCTTAATGATACTGATCGCGATAATCGCAGCAGTGGCGTTGATGAGGCGGGAAACTGCGAATCTACAGGATCTCGCATCCAAACATCATTCCACACCGCACCAATGCGCAACAATAACAGCCGTACATGACGAATTGCAGTACATAAAGTCGGGCCATGACTTACGCGCCTACGAGCTTTAAAGTGCCTTTAGGCGGAGCCTGGTCATCACGTGATGTATGTGCACGTCATCATGCATATCATAGTTCAAAACATGACTCAATAAAAACGAAACGAAAACGCAGAGACGAGGAATACTTCAGATTACGACATCTACAGACACTACATGCCGGAACCCCCCCAATGCCGTAGCAGGACCGGCGAATCTTCGGACTCTCTACGGGGGTGATGGGCGATGGGGACAGAAGGGAAGCGTGACCGTGTCGCGTGACATCGCCACGTGACGTCGCCGCGTGACGGCGTGACGGGTTAGATGACACCACGAGGCATCGTGACGTACGTTCGGTACGGCAACCGCCATAATTCTAAGCAACACCGTGAGGGGCTCCGAAGAGCCGCTGAGAAGCAACAACCAGCAGCGCAGCGCAACCTAGCTGAGCATAAGCCAGCTGCTGCAGATAACGCCCAAAGAGACCCTCCGCAGGCGGAGCCCCAAACATACAGGCGGCCGAAACCCGCGAAACCCGCACGGGGCGCGAACAGTAATCGTTCCGGCTCGTTGGATGTGTCCACTAGGGAGCTCCATGATGGCCAGCACCGAACACGCACAACGTTGGTTTACGTCTTCCTGACGGCCTCTGGCCGCCTAGTACTGTATCGAAGCAGATCGAAGCAACCAAACCATGGCCAAATAAATACATGACTGAACAACCAACCAACTGGATAGACAAACAGCCGCCGAACAATGCTTAAGCAGCACTTGATTATAATGCTGCTGTAAAAAAGGAACTGAATGACCACCTCTTTACAACTGCATGGTACACATGTGTATAACAGACATACATCCAGTGAACATGCGCAACAGAGACCGCGTGGTTCAGCTCCTCGATGTGGGCCGGGAGCACACCTAGGCACCAAGGCACACGCGCGCGGGGCTTCGTTGTCATCAGCAGCGCTGCCGGACATCAGCATCGGCTGACCAGTTTTACCTAGTAGCATGAACAAAGCCGACTACCAGCAGCAAAACCTTCCACATACGAGCTCACGCAAATTCAACATCAGCACGAGCCGTAGAACAAATCCTTCCTAGCAGAGCACGGAGTGGCGCTGCTGCTGTTCTTACCTGTTATGAAATCAAACTGCAGGCCTTTCTCAGGGAACATTATTATTATTATTATTATTATTATTATTATTATTATAATTTTTAAATTATAGTTTTGATAAAACCATTGGATTAAATAGAAGCACAGCTTTTTTCCTCGCCTCCCTCCACGCGTCCTACTTTTTTCGCCGATTCGCCGTCCAGGGTTTTTTTACTTCTCCGTAGACTTAATCTCTCCATATAGTTCTCTAATCCCTACAATAATGGAGGTCAAATCAAACACATGGCGTGTGCAAGCCCTTGCGCGCGCGGTGCCTTCCTCCGCAACATACAGCCATCGCCATTTTTTGGCCAATAAAACGCCTTTGCCCGCTACTGAACGCCCCCATCAGGCAGATGAGGATGGTGATGGTGATGAGGATGGTGAGGATGAGGATGGTGATGAGGACCCGTTTTTCGACACACCGCAAAGGAAGCATTGAGCGGCGGCAGTGACCTGCAAAGTGGACTTTGGCGGCACATACATGAAGAGCTGGAAAGCCGGAGCCCATAATGAACCACACCATTTCGACAATCCCTTACTTCGCACATCGTACAAGCCCCGCATTAATTAACTTACTACTCCTCGTATCCATTTAATATGTTGGCCCACAACTCCCCCATGGCCGGCCTAAAAAGACGGTCCAAGACGCAAAATTAGGGAGGGGAATGTGCTGTTTTATAAATGAAAGGGTAGGCCGACCGGGGGCGTATGCCCACGGCCGCATGCGCGTCCCACTGTTGCAGCCGCACTTGGAATTGCAATCGCCCGGGCGACTCAGCAGCAGTCAGCAAGCAATAACGCTGCGCATTGAAAATGTCTTTCTTCTAAACCACTGACCGAGTCGGCAAAAATCCGGTACAGATAACACACACACACACACACACACACACACACACACACACACACACACACACACACACACACACACACACACACACACACACACACACACACACACACACACACACACACACACACACACACAAATTGCAAATAGCCGTTTGACGCTTTAAAAAGCCCCAAAAAGTTTCAAAAGGCTTCAAAAAGCTTCGAAAAGCGCCAAACAAGCTATCCGCAGCGTACGCAAAGCTCATTTTTATCTTTGTGTGTGCTGCGCTCCTCGCATGCGGAATAGATGAATTGATCGATTGCTGCTGGTTGGTAGGCAAAAGCGGGTTCAACGCGCAGATCGCAACAAACAAACGAACAAAAAGCGCGCCCAAATAAGCTGCACATACTGGTACCACGCCACGAAAAAGCAAAACCGCTACACAATCAGCTCACTGCAGCATACAGCTTTCCCTTATATCACTTAGTGTTTTCATACTTCTCGAAGGAAGACGGAGAAGTAATATAGGTACATTCCTCCCTTCGACTCGGTCTCGTTTTGAGCGAGTCGTCGCACAAGAGACAAGCACAGAAAAAGTTCAACTCTTACATCTGACAACCTAACACTGTAGCAGCAACCACCAACACCGCTTGACATGCGCACGCAGACATTCATGCACCCACATCGGCGGCTTGTTTTCCTATTTCAGCTTCAGATTGATAAAAGAAACACAAAGATTCGTTCATCCTGTCCCCTGCGTAGCTATACCGTACAGCGATATGGGATGTGCACACACGTTTTGATCGGCGTTTTCCACGTCTTACAAACCCCCCAGTAATAAGCTTGCATCATGGGGCGATCAGTGCCCCGACTAATGCTGCTTTGGACTGCCTGTGTGTGCCTATGTGCTTACCGGCTTGACCACCACCCCGTTTGACAACATGATTGCCCCCTCTCCCACGCAGACCGCACCCTAAGTTGCCGTTACTCATCAAATCAAATACTTTGTCCTTCGCCAGTTTCTCGAACAGTATCTCGCAGCCGTTAATTAATCTTGTCTTCGCGCTGTATTAATTACTACGCGTACTTCGTACTTGGCGTCTCTTCTCTTCGTCGGGGATGGATATAGATTCAAAAATGCACGCCGCGGCGTACCAACCGTGCCGTTATCCCTCGCACACGCATATACGCCGCAACAACCAGCACCACCACCGTCGTCCAATCTCTCGAAGGTCAAAACTTTCACACGTATATCCATTTCATATCGTATACAAAATCTCACACATCAATGATGCGCCGGCAGTCCCTCACCTGCCGTACATTTACCAGTGGCTTGTTGTACTGTCATGAGTCCGTCGGCGTTACACTTCGCCGTCTGCTTCCCCATTGCCGCCGCGGCCGCCACCTCCGAAACACGTCAGCACTATACCAGTGTAGAGGCGCGGGGGGCGAAAGAGCGCAAGGATCCCGCGGGCCCCGCAACCCCCCCCACCGCCGCCGCCGCTGTCGCTGCGCTTGCTGCCCCTGCAGCGGAAGTTGATATTAGGCGACGTCAACTTTAGCGGGCGCGCCGCCGCTGCAGCCTCTGTCGTGCCAAAGTGCCCTGCCGCCGCCGTCTTGCTGTCGTCGCACTCACGCCACGCCGCCATCTCCTCGAGCCATGCATCATCCGAGTCGCAAAGCGACCTGTGGATGCCGTACGAACGGGCCTGGACGTGTGCGCCGTCGCCATCGCCGACGCCGACGCTGACGTCAAATACGCCTTCCAGCGCCGCAGCTGCTTGCTGCCCGGAGGAGCCGCAGGCCGCGCCCTCCTCGGCAATACAGTCCATGCCGCAGGGCGCCCCAAGAGAGACAGGAAGGCTGCCGACAATCGCCTCCTCGTCCATCGCCAGCCCTGAAGTTGCAGCACAGCTGCCTGCTGCCGCCGGCCCCGTCGGCAGCGGCAGCGGCACCGGAGCTGCCGCCAACGCCGACCCCGCGGGGAGAGATGCACCCGCATACGGGATTGCGACGCCAGCTGCGGAGACGTAGCCCAGACAAGTCCGCCGCCAGCGATGTGATCCCGTGGCGCATAGCTGGTGATTGCGATGGTGGTTGTGGTGTTTGAGAGTTCCAAGATTGTAGTTATTGGCGCCGCCGTCGTTGAGATCCAAAGAAGGGAACTCCGATGAGACAGAACATACGGTGCCATCGCCGTCGCCGTCGCTGCCGCTGGCATCGGGGATGTCGTTAAAGAGAGCTTTCCAAGCTGCTAACACGGCGGCATGGCGAGGTTCGACGCCGCCACCGCCGCCACCGCGGCCGTACTCGACCATGTCGCCGCTTCCGCCAATGCTAGCAGGCACCTCCACAGATTCGTACCGCTGTGGCGCTTGTGGGGTGTGGCGGAGGCTTAGTGAGGCGCTGTGGTAACCGCTATCGCCATCAACACCATCATGCCCTCTGGCACCTACTCCATTGACAGCATCCACCCTCGGGAAGTCCTTGCCGGTGCCGGCCGCGGCATAATTGTTTTCCTCAATGTTTCCGTACATATCCACAGTAGACCGCAGTTGCTGTTTGAAGCTGCCGTTGGCACCACGGGCGCCTGCGGGTTCCACACCCGCCGCTACTGCCGCCTCCGCTACATAAGCCGTACAGGTATCGGGCCCGTTATGCCGTTGGGACGCGTGCTGGAATTGAGGGGCGCTACAGCCGCTGTACGACAGGACTTCGGCGGTGCCCCAATAGTAGCCTGACTGCGACCACGCGCTACGCGGCAAAGGCGATGGGCCCTTGACGACGCGTCGTACAGCTGCGCCGCCTCCATAACCAGTGACTGCAGCTCCTATCCAAAACGCATTCTCCGGTGTCAAAACATCTTGGCAATACAGGGGATCGTCCTGGCTGTACTGCACGAGATCAGGCGCTGAGGAGTTGCGGTTCATTTTGTTGCCTGCGACGACCGGTCCTTTGGTTACCGCCGCTGCTGCGGCGGGTGCTGCTGCTGCTGCTGCTGCAGCCGCCGCCGCCGCCTCCGCTACAGCGGCCGGTAGTACAGCCGGCAGCTGTGGCTTTGGCGGCGGCGGCGGCGGCATCTGAAGCTTCTTCACTCGGCCCGGCCGGAACCTGGGTTTCTGAAAGGCCCTGCCGGCGGCGGTGGCGGCGGCGGCCGCAGCTGCAGCGGCGGCGCCGCCGTGCAACTGGAAGGAACGGGAACCTGCCACCGTCACTGATGCTGCCGATGATGTTTGGCTTGGGCGCTGAACCGCACTTTGGTAATGACCCCGGGCGCTCCGGGGGCCCAGGCGGCTCAACACGGAATCCATGGACATGGCCTTGGGAAGCGTGCCACCCTGCTGCTGCTGCTGCTGCTGCTGCTGTTGATAATGCTGCTGCTGCTGCGTCCTAGAACACGCTTGGGCCCGCTGCGGGAGGGGCGCTGCAGGGGTCGACATCGCCGTCCTCGCCGCTGCTGCGGCCGGTGTCACGATGGTGGCGTCATGACACCTCAGCACCGCGGAGTACGGCTGCTGGTACTGCGGTTGCGGCGGCGGCGGCGGTGGCGGCGGCAAGACTTGCTGGGAGATGGCTGTTCCCGGCGCCATCAACTTGCGATTGCCTGGCGTCGGCGGCGCCGGTGTTGTCGGTGGAGCCGCTGACGTCAGCGACGGCGCCTCGCTCGACTGCACCAGTGCACCGCTGGGGCCCGAGGATAGCATCCCAAAGTCCGACGGCCATGCTGCCGCTGTGACCTGCCTATCACCAGCCTGCGCCAGCGGCCATCGCCATAGCGTCCGTGTGCCGTCAAGCTTTGAGTCCTGTGCCTCGATACGACTGCCGGCGGACAAGCTGCGGCGGTGGCGGGACACTGTCGTACCCGCTGGCGACCGTACATCCTGCAGAAGATGGGTATCCTCCGCCATGGCCACCGTCACATGCTCTCCGAGAGACAGCGGCGGCGGCGGCGGCACTGTCACTGCCGCCGCCGCCACCACCGCTGCCGCCAGCGAAGACGGCGGCGGCGGCGGAAGCTGAGCCCCGATGCTCGGATGCTCCCGCGCCTGGCAGATGCCCTGTACGGCACTCCCGCAGCTCCGAGCCTGACCAGGTGCGGTAGGATCTGCCACGGCGCCGTACATGGCCCAAGCGCCATCGCGGAGAGGCGCTTCGTCATCGTCTCGAAGCTTCGTCATCGCCAATTCCCGCTCAGCTCCGCCAGCGCTATCGCTTGCAGCCATCGCCTTCGCCTTCGCCTCTGCCATCTCCTCTGCCAGTGCATCAAAGAGCCCCTTCAGCACAGGATTGCCAGCGATTACCTCGCCCACGTCCGCTAGGAACGGCATACGCAGTAGCTCCTCTGCCGTCAGCCGAGCCTCCGGGTCCAGCCGCAAGCACGCCATAATGAAATCCACGAGCGCGGGCTCCAGCGGCGCAGAACCACCACCACCACCGCCGCCGCCGCCGCCGCCGCCGCCGCTGCTTTCACCACCACCGCTGACTCCACCGCCGCAGCCACGTAGGCGCTCCAGCAGCGGCGGGCCCGGCAGCTGCTTGGGCCGTAGAAGCTCCTGGGGGACCTTGTGTCCCAGGGCTGCGGGGTCCAGCGCCCGCAGGTGTTCCACTGCTCTTGCCAGCAGAGGCGGCCAGGGTCCCGGCAGTGCACCAAGGATGCGCCACAGCTGGTCCAAGGAAGAGGTGCCCCGCAGGAGCACCTCCCCCCGGGCCATCTCAGCCAGGGTGGCGCCCAGGGCCCAGATATCTGTAGGCGTGCGTTCCGCAGGCACATGTGTGCCAGCGTGGCACAGCACAGCACAGCACAGCACGGCATGACGTGTGGGGGTTAGGGTTGGGGGCCGGGGGGTTACAAGATACCTAGAGGGGGGTTAGGGACTCCCCGGGGGAGGATTGACATTTGGGGATGGCTATGGCCTATGGGAGGCCTCAGGTGCTGTTGGAGCTAAGGTGGACCGGGGAGATAGTCGGACCCGCAAAGGGGACTCGTCTTCTGGGTGGGAGGCGAAATGTGGAGCCCAGATGCGGTCCGGTTCGGGAGGGGCGGTGGTAGGGGCGGCACATCCTGCTCGATCGGAACGGCGCCGTACCTGCGGGAGCTCCGTACTCATGGCCGAGCAGTACTTCAGGTGCACGGTATGGACGCGTCTGGACGTACGGCGTCAGCGCGTCCTTTATGCCGCCAGCTGCTGCCGTCGCTGTTGCTGTTGCTGTTGCTGCTGCTGTTGCAGAGCCCAGCTGAGGCGGTGCCGGTGCTGCGGCGTCCACCAGCTCAGCTCCCGGCACCCGCCGCGCAAAGCCGAAATCGCATAGACGTATTGTTCCGTCGCTAGAGAGCAGCACGTTCGCCGGCTTGACGTCTCTGTGTAGTATCTGGAAGGGCAGGGTGGCCACGCATCCGCGCCGGAGAACGGTTTGGGATGCTCACACTCTAGGATTCGAAGAAGCAGCATTCCTAAGCACCATAAAAAAACCGCAGGGCCGATATGTAATAGTAGTAACTGTTAAAGCGCCGGACCCCCCCTTGGTTCCTATTACTGCTTTCAACCACACACACACACACACACACACACACACACACACACACACACACACACACACACACACACACACACACACACACACACACACACACACAGACACAGACACAGACACAGACACAGACACACACACACACACACACAGACACACACACACACAGACACACACACACACACACAGACACACACACACAGACACACACACAGACACACACACAGACACACACACAGACACACACACAGACACACACACACTGCTTTCAACATATCCTGGTATGTATGAGTGTCGGTCACTTTCCAACAGTAACTGGAACTTAGACAGAAGAAGGTTGCAAAGGTTGATTAAGGCATGCGGAAAGGAGATTTGGAAGGCGCAAAATAACCTTGGCCAACGCCTCTCAGCCATGTGGCATAAACTGTCACAGAAGGCTTTATGCCCTCAGCAGGACGTGAGAGAGGCTCAATCCTTTTACTAACATGTTATTAACCGGGTTAAGTGAGTTTGGTATGCAGACGAACGAACAAGGAGATAAGAATGCATGTTCAGAACCTTATGGCAGCTACGCTGCTATCCGGGTGAGCAGTACAACGTGGAATGCCAGTCCGGGTTTTGAATTTGGGGGGAGTTGGCTTGGCCTTTCACGGTATCGCCTCTTGTTGCTTTTGAACATTTGAAGCAGTTGGGATTTGCTTGCTGGCGCGTTTTGTTAACAAGGAGTAACGTTCTGAAGCCTGTGCCAGTGTTTTGCCGCACTAGTAGCCCTCCAGCCACAACATCGATAAAACTATGAGCACTTCGCGCTTTTTTCATATAAGACGCCTACAAATATTACTCTCAAACCTTATCCCTTCTGGCAGCCGTAGCCCGTAGGACTACTGTGCGTGTGTTACATGGTTGGGGGTGCGTGACCCCATACCTGTAAGACTACCCATACGAGCCGAAGGCCCAAGGGCAATACTACAAAGCCATGGAGGAAAGGAAAACACCGCACATCAGCCCAGACTAGCGTCCAAAGGGGGTAATTGAGTTTCGGTGAGCCCACATACGTTCCAACATCCTCGCCAGACGTGGTGGTTCCCATATCATGGACTACTGACTGTGACTGGGTTTTTGGGTGCTGGCGAAGGTCAGGCACCTTTTTTCTTCGAGCGAGGAACGTCAACGACTTGTGCTCCAAAGCAACCAAGTCCTACTTTGAGTTGTATTTAAAGGACCAGTTTAAGAATATTACAATCAGCCTGCACGATTATTGTGTACGTAGGGTCTTCAGCGCCAGCACGAAACTCCTCCGCTGCGGGACAATTCACGTGCACGTGCTAGGATGGACTTCCATTATGGGAATCTGACGTCGACGGAAACTAAGTGTAACGTATAGAGGGGTGATGGCCTGTAGTAACTAGCCAGGGTACCTACGCGCATCTTTAACAGGGTCAAACACATCAGGCGTCACCGATGGCATCCAAGCCCAAGGTAGCGCCCATTTTATGCATAGCGACTCCATGCCCCAAAAATTAACAAATGCAAAAGGGGGATTTGGGTGCCCAAAACGCTATAGCTACTTTCTAGCGTGCGTGCGTGCGTATATTATTTGAAGCCGAAGGGCGGCACACCGAAAGAAAGGAAGCCATCAACATAAAATTGTTCGTTGCGTGAGTTGTTGTAGCGCTGTTTTGTCCCACCTTCCGCTGGTGGAGGTACCGGAGAGCCAGACAGAGCTGCCAGGCAAAGGACTTGAGCAACACAGGAGGCATCCCGCGAGGATACGTCTTGCTCAGGACACTTTGCGCACACCCCACGTCGATGAAGGGAAAGACGGCGTATAGCCTGCAGTTACGACTGTGGCATGGAAAGGCAGAGCGCAAAGCCCGCCTGTTAGGTCTAGTGCGTGAGAGTTGCTAAGTTGTTCCGACTGAACTCCGACTCTGCGCTAGTATCGACAGTGTTTTGTAAGCATAAAAGAAAAGTCAGCTGCGGCGCAACGTACCTGAAAAATGCTCGTTGCAGCTTTATAATGAGCGGATGGTCCAAGCTCTTTAGCAGGCGGATTTCACGTAGCGCCAGTCTCAGACCCTTCGGAATAGGGAAAGAAACGTTTACCTTGAGAACCTGGGCCTTTGCGGCACCGACCTGCTTTGCCCCATTCGGTCCCTACCTCGATGCGTACCTAGCGTACCTAAGCGCTTACAGGGCATGGCACAATTCATTCCGCCAGTGCCGCAAAACTTACCACGTTATCATTGTGAGCCCATTTAAACTTCTTGACAGCAACCAGCGACGGTGTCGTCTGACCATGTGCTCCTTTCTCCTCGCCGGCTGAACGCTCGCGACAAAGCAAGACACTGCCATACGAGCCCTCACCCAAACGCGAAACGTAGACATATTGGCTTTCCCAGTCCTGTAGGCATGCGCCGTCGCGCGCAACATGAGCGAAAGAGTATCGAAAGTTTTCGGCGTCGTTGCAGGCAAATTCTACCTGCATCGCGTTTTCCTCCTGTCGTTTCTCGCCCATAAAAGCAGAGCAAGCAGCCCGGCTCCAAATTTGGAGCTAGCGGTTGCCGTCAAAGGAAGGGGGACCCCATCAGACATGCAAACCGGTAATATAATGCATAATAAGTAAGTGGTCCACGTGATATCCTAAGGGTGTGCGATGAAATTCCTCGTCAGCAGAAAAAAATGTGCTCTGTACGAACCAGGCAAGTTACGAAACTACACCTTTTAGAGCTGGCAAGCTTCGTATGCCCCGGATGCTGCAACCTTATATGTTATGTTGATACTTAACCGGCCGCAAGCAAAATGGCGCTACAGCGTATTTGTCCTTGTTCTCATTCGATCAATAAAGCTCGCATAAACCCAGGAAACTTGACAGTTTAGGAATGAAGATTTATAACAGGTCCGGAATGATGAAAGACAAGAATGCATCGAAGGAATGAATACTTGGCCCCCCTTCAGGCAGTTTTTCGAACCACGTGACCGCAAAGTGTCTTGTAATTGATTTCCTCGGCGTGATCTTATCACGTGGTGCTTGGTACTCATTTCTCGAACTTTCTCTTAAAACGTTGAAGGTTACAGCATCCCTGCAGGCAGGAGTGAGCAAGTCGAACTATGTTTCTATGGAGTATGTGGAACCTTGGCGAAGTTTGTGGAACCCATGGAGTGTTGTGTATGTACCTACTCCTCCGACGTTGCTAGGGAAACGAAAGCCATGTTGCGTTTATTATTGAAGCTTATGCAAAGGTAAGTCAGTGCCGCCACTGTCTGAGTTACCAGACCACGTGTTATCCGAAAGTTTCTAAGCAAACCGTCTAGAAAGTTAAGGTTTTATGTGAATTCGGAGTGCCACTGTGCGATGTACGGACTTGAGTGGTTATGTGTCGCTGCGAGCGACTGTGCTGGTTACCTCGGGTTTGGGTGCTGCCCTGAAGCGGTTGGTCTGCAGGCCTAGTTGTCGCTTCGGGGCAGTGCGCCCACACCCGGCCGCTTTTCATCTTCATTAAGTGCTCCTGCTACGCACTCGCATGATCTGGTTTATGTCACCGGCATCGACACCAACGCGGCTGTGGCGAAAACACAGGGTTGGCGAGGGAGGTGATTATCCCAGCTGATGGCTCATCCGATGCATCATGTGTGTGCCGTCTTTGCCATCTGATTCTGAGTCTATGCAAAATACCTCTGGACGTACAGGCTCCTCTATGACCCGTAGTAGTGCACCTAGGCGCTGCCCTGCAGGCCCTGAGTCGGCTCGGGCACCAGCCACATCCACCCGAGTTGACTCGTGGTGCTCCCAGTTGAGGTTGGGACGGCTTTGCAACTTTGCTTGACACCTTGTCTGGCGCCGCTCCCCTGAAGATGTCCCTTTCACCACATTTGGGGTCTTTACTTGGGCCGTCCGCGGGCCGTCATCACCCGGGTTGCTGGACCAACAGAACTGCCTCATCTCACGCTACCAATGGAAACACGTCACACGTCGCAACACTGCTTGGTAGCCCGCTCTAATGACAACAGCAACGGGGACCGGCACTCAGACTGAGCGCCAAGTGAGCGACTGCGCACATCTGCACATGCAATGTCGAAAGGCTGCTGATAAGGAACTAATTAATTAAGGGAGCTAATTCCAGAAATAAATAAAAAGGCGATAACAGAAGAAAGCTTCGGCTGGCTTACGCTTTCAGTGCAAAGGGGCTATGGCTGATTTGGTGCTGGCGTTGTAGTTCAAGGGCATAACCATGTGTGCTGCCTCTAGTCAAGTGCCAGGAATGCCCCATAAAAGGGCATTAGTGCTTCCAGTGCTCCATGGCACGCCCCTCCCAAATTTTCCACTCCCACCATATGTAGGGCCATGAGGGTCCAGGCATTTAGCCACGAATGCATCTCCCAGCTTGTAAGACCTGGTGAAGTGCCTGCTGTATAGCCATCCCTAGGTCCCCCAGGTCATTTCCCCCATGTGCTTCACAGGATTCCTACCTCCCCCCCTGCCCGGACCACAACACCAGTCGACGTAAGTGCCCTACATTCACACAGTCCGGGGTGACAATGTTCTAGTCCCGGCCTATCAGTGCCACATTTATCCTGAGGTTGTAGCTATACCCTCGGGATTAAATCAATTACCAATATTGGTAATGGAACATCATCCACCAAGAGTCGCAGTCTTTGGTCGCGGATCAGTAGCTGAAACACCGGGCGAACATCATAATGGCATAAGGAGGCCATCCATCAGTACCCGGCTCCATGAGTGTCACTGCCATCTCCGAGGATGCAGAGTCTGACACACACACATTGTAACACCAGGCAAAGAGTACTCAGGGAGATGCTAAGGGAGCTGAACCCTTCTTACACATCTAATGGCCAACTAGCACAACTAGCACAACTCTGACATGCAGCTACAAAGGCAGGGCCCCAGACCCTCCCACTGAGGGGTACCCTGGGAGCAGCTTACATGGAACGCCCATTGCTCCTTCACCTGGGTCATGCCCCGATCCACCAGGCGAGCAGTAGCCTCTCCCAACGATCTCTCTCTTATCACCCTCGATGGAGGGAGACCCCGTGATCCATTTGCCATGTTGCTGGGCTTTGGAGGCAAACAGAGCACGAAGGGCCAAGCACCATGTCCCCAGGGAGCAGCGGTTTTGCCGCCGTTGTGGCACCAATAGCCAAGTCAAGGATGAAAAACACGTGTTATTGGAATGCCCAGCCTATAATGATATTCGTGTGAAAGAGGATTCGATCATCAACAGAGCATGTTGGAGGCCATGAAATGGGAGCCAGCACGTCTGGCGAGGATGTTGGAACGTATGTTGGGAGAGGGGGTTCATATCTTTACCATGCGCCCGCTACCCAGCAGACCCTGCCTTCCCCGACACCCTCATCCAGTCACCCCAGCCAACTTCCTTGTGGATCGCTCAGGTTCCGCACCCACCAAAGGCATTCGACGGAATCTGCCGGATCATCGGCGGCTCAACTCCGTTCTTGGTCAGCTCGCAAGTTAACGTTTATCCCAGGTCACCATCGTCCATCGACTTTTACCTTCCGTCACTGGAAGGATTTTCCGACCCTGACAAGCCTCGATCCCCAAACCTCCGGGGGCATCGGCGTTTGCTTTACCAGTAGTGCCTGACCTAGTATGTAGGATCGTATGTGGGCTCGTACCGCAACTCAGTTATTCCCGCTGGACGCTAGTCTGGGCTGATGTGCGGTGTTTTCCTTTTCTCCGTGGCTTTTAGGCGTTTAGGTATTGCCCTTGGGCCTTCGGCTCGAATGGGTAGTTTTACAGGTATGGCATCACGCACCCCCAACCATGTAACACACACACACACACACACACACACACACACACACACACACACACACACACACACACACACACACACACACACACACACATATATATATGTATATATATGCCATGCAATGCGGTGAACACCAGACACAGCCGCACCGGAGGCTTGGCCAAATGTTGATAAGAACAGCTGTGATAATATCCTCTCATATCTCTTTAATGACTTTGTTCTCTTGATCCGCCCACCCCATCCTAGGGGGTCGCCGATTGTAACTTTTATTTTCCCAGCTGCATGCAGCAGGGCGCGCCACAGCCGAGAGCCACCGAGCCCAGTTTAACTGTAAATTCCTGACATCGTTCTCATTTCCATGCCAGCTCCTCTGACCTGACATCAGCTAGGGAGGGCTAGGGCCTCGTCGAGCCCACTGATGAGTCAAATTAGTTCCCCTTTGCGTTTACCTTGTAGCACCAAGACAAATTCCCGCATAGAACATTAGCAAAAGGGCATTGGTGGCGGCTAATATAATTGCGAATCATGCTCGCGACCATTTATGCCTTCGGAATCGTTCGAGCTGATGCAAACAGCCTGATGGAAACAGGATGGAATCGCCACGCACGGTTTAGCAGGTTTAGCACAGGTGCGGGAGTCAACGGCTGTTGAGCGAGATTTCATAACCCAATTAAAATTCAAATAATGTGCCACGTTGTTATTACACTTGAGTTTTGTACACGAAGTGCCCAGTGCTTCAGCAGCTAAAACCGAGGAAAGTAATATGGTGCTTCGATGCTGCGGATATGGCGGATAGATTGCCCGGAGGCAGACGTGTTCGACAGCTTACCAGCAGGCTATAGTAGACTAGAGGCTGACGGACATGAGGTTTCAGTGAAGGCCATCTTGCGAAGATACCGTCTGAAACGCGGCAGGATCGAAGGGACCAGTTGCGGCTTAATGCCCGGCTAGGCCGTAACTCAGGCGCGATCGCGTTACAGTCGTCCACATATTAAATAAAAAAAATTATTAGATTAATTTGACGCATTAACACCTTGAGACCGGGTCATAGTCGACTAGATTGGAAGCGTCGAAGAAGTCGGAACGGTTTCTAACCGTGTCGAAGCTTTTCGATGATTCCCTAGCAATCTGGTAGCACGACTGGTGGCATACGCATCACTGTCAAAAGTATGAACTTATCAATCCACCGTTCCCGAACTGCCTGGATAGCTGAAAAGGGAATCGTCCACCGTACCAATAATGTATTGCCGCCGCGGCGGGATGCATTGACTGTCTTCCATGTCCAAGCTAAACCGATTAAACCGTTTTGGGGCAGTTACGCCTACGAGTGCCTACCAGGAAGTCTATTGAAGTCCAGTTTCATGAACCGAAGCAACCAACACCGAAATGTCAGACCCTCACGATTAATGTCAGACAAACTGAGAAGAGATGCTAGGCCAAACATATGTGGCTAATTTTAATATCAGGGTTAAGCACAAGGCCCAAGTCCGTGAAACTGCACGATATAAATTCCTTCACCAGCGATTTTTAGTCAATCGTTTGACATCCTACAACTGTAATTACCGATCTTAAATTAAGTATATAGCGACATATTGATTAACACGACATGGAAATGATGGCAGCACGGATGTATGCCGCGCTCTTGTTTGCCGCGCTTTGCTTCTTCAAAACAACTTATGCTTGCATATATAAATATGGGACATCGCTTGACTCACTGGTATGTGTTAAGACCAGCAGAGCGCCGGAACCCCCCGGGTCCTATTATTGGTCACATTTCAGCTGCCAGCGGCCGGCATGCATGCCTGTATCCAACCATCGGTAGCCGCATTACTACCGATATCCATATTCTCAAACATGCATATAGTATGAGCAGTTATCACGCTTTTGCGCAGTTACTTAACCGCTAATGCACTGGACACCGTGATTCGCCGTAGCGCCGGCAGGTTAAATCCATCCGATGTGCCTGCCAACTGTGCTAACTGCAGGCGGCTCCTAACGGCGGAACCCCCTGGGATCATGGCTTGCATGGAGACGACTGGTAAGCATGCCTGCGCTGTCGAAACACTCGTGCAGCCCCCTAGCCTTGTTTACACGGCCGCGCTTGCAGTATCATCGTTGCTACCGTTCGTTAGTCGACTTCCATTGCGGTTCCTTCCTTCCTTCCTTTCTTCAGGATTGGTGTGGACGCAACTGGAAAGCCTTGGGCCTGCATGAGCGGAATTCGCCAAAGCCCTATCAATTTGCCAAACGCAAATATCCTTGGTAGGACAGGACAACTTCGTGGTCTGCAAAGGGGAAATTCGTAGTCTTGCTTTGAAGGGGAATACTCACACCCACGTCCAGTAATCGGCACATTATTTTATTGATTTTGAAATTTTCGTCTCGATAAATAGCGGAACTAGCTTGTCGGTTGCGACATGATACGCCCTGTAATGCATGTTGCATGGAGCGCGGGGCTCGCATCGTATGGCTGGCTGTCGTTATCCTTGCACTTATGGGAAGCTTCTAAATAGATATCTTTAAACTAAAAGCCAGTTAGTTGCCCTGGTGAAGGCCTGGCTCCATCGCGACTCGTCGCGACAATTCAAACTTAGGGCTCAGCGACGAACGCGAGTCAAGCAATCGCACCATCGTACCTTCAGCTGAAAGTCATTAAAGGTTGGGGCGCTGGCAAAACCTTTCCGATTTCCCCGATTTTCAACCCTGTCGGCTGTCGTGTGCCACTCATGTCCACGAGTAAATTTGTGGAGCTCGTCGCATGGCGCAACCCAGCTTATGAAATCCAGAATCCTTCCCCTTTCGATAGCGTCCGGTCGTTCCGGAATCTGCACGCATTTTTTGTGTGTGTATATATATGTGTGTGTGTTTGGTTGGTTGGTTGGTTGGTCGTTACAGTGGGCTCTAGACTCGCGAATCGTAACGCCAGCGGGCCATTTGCTGGCCGTGCATTATTACTGCACCTGAGACGATCAGGGCCGTCGAGACACCCATCCAGACCAGACAACGCAAATGTCACCTAGATAGACAGCAGAAGGCGAGCCCAAAGGGAAGAAGGCTTCGAAACCCACAACCACGGGGGAATACATATTTGTCAATAGGCTCTCCAATTGGCGAAAGTCCTCGGATCGCCACCAGAAGGCCCACCAGCGAATACTGACAGGAGCTAGACGCGCATCGTGTTGAGGCTTCTTCAGCAATCCATCAGCAGCCCACGCAGGTCTCTTGACTTGAAACCCGTATCGATAATCGCTTGGAACTTTGCGTGTTTTTTGCTAGCACCTATTGTTGTGCGACCATATATCGCCTGCAGACAATCGCGGCAGCCGCATACCGCGCAAGTTCCGTACCCAATGGTCGTACCCAACCATCTACTCTAACGGCTCTAATGTGGAGGTTATCAACACAGGACACACCATTCAGGTTGAGTGGCTGTCGCCGTACGCAGCCGACGTCGAGATTGTGGTCCCAGGTGTGTCGTACTACGCGCCGTACATTCTTTTGCATGTCACAATGCGTGGGTCTGATGTGAACACCCTTATAATCATGTCTGCCATGCCCGCTTGCTTCGCCATTACAACCTTACTGCGACTTGACCCTGAAGTCATTAACTTATAAGCTGTCCCCCATCCCTGTCTGTTAGCGTTATGTTACTTGCTGCGCACATTCTGCAACGTTGCAGCTCAGACGATGCAGCTTTCGGCGACCTTTTGAATGACCACAATGTGTTTCCTTCAATCCCATGTTTCGACCACCGCAAAACTCCATTTTTCTTCCCTCAGCACGCCAGGACCGCAACACACAGATTACCGCAGTGCTGAGTATGAATGAGAACGATCAGGCCACAACCGTCCAGGCCACGCCGCTACAGTTCCACTTCCACACGGTCTCCGAGCACCTGATTGGAGGTAGGTGGCGCGAAGCATTGCCGTGCACTTGCCTCTTCTGGCTATGTGGTACGATGTGGGGGACAGGGGGCCACATCTTCACCCGTGGCCGCTACCCGGCAAAATCCTGCCTTCCTCAGTATTTCGGGGCACCCTCATCTAGTCACCCTAGCCGACTTCTCAGTGGATCGCTCAGGTTCCGCACCCACCACCGGCATCCAACGGAATCTGCCAGATCGACGGCGGCTCATTTCTATTCCTGCTCAGCTCACAGGTCTACTTATCCCAGGTCACCACCGTCCATCGACTAGGGGCACGCTTACCTTCCACCATCGGAAGGAATTTCGACCTTGACAGGTCTCAATCCCGGAACCTCCGGGGGCATCGATGTGTGCGCTACCAGTAGTGCCTGAACTAATGGTATTTTGGTCAGGAACGAATGGTGCATGGGCCACCGGATATACCCTCAGCCAACAAACATTGGGTAGAATGGGACGTGGAGATAGATCGGCCCCTTCTCCGTCTAACGTCTGAGGATCCTGCTCCTTGATCGTCATTTTGGATTAATCTGCCACCATGGTTACGTGGCGCGGGGCGCCCGCATTACGGTGCTCTGCTGTTGTAAGGATCTCTCTCTTACCATGTCGACATACTAAATTCTTTTCGGTTCCAAACGACATCCAGCTCCATTCACTCTGCTGCGCCCTTGGTGTCCTCCTCCTCCGCCTGCTCGCGCTCCCTCCCCTTCGTCAGGCGAGTACCACCCTCTTGAGCTTCACATCGTCCACCGTGTGACTGACCTGCCCGCCTGCACCGCCGGCTGCTTCTCCGTGACGGGGGTGCTGTTCGAGCTGACTCAGTCGGAGGACAACCCCTTCCTGGAGGCCATCTGGGCGGCCATGCCCATGCGCGAAGGGGTGAGGAGGAGAATGGGTGAAGGAATGGGTGAAGGAGGGGCTGCGGTTAGGCCGAGGATGTGGTCGGGTTTTGGTCGGTTTGGAACCTGGTAGCCGACTCGAGGCTTTCGCAATGAGTTCTCGAATCAGCAAGTTCCTGCATTACAGATTTTTCAAGGACGGTCAGGTGAGGCTGCTAACAGCAGTAGTCGTCTTGGGGGTGCGGGAGGGTTTTTCCCCCACTAAAAGGCGGTTTAATTTCTGTGTTAAAGCGGAAAACATCCGCTTCAAGAGCATGAGCAGAGGTAAGCCCTTCCCCAATCACCCCCATCCATTGTAAATCAACCCGGTGCCCTATCGCGCAAAAAAACGAAACCCCTGCAGGCCATCAACTATTTGCCTCCGGACGCTCAAATCCGTCTTGAGGAGCTTCTCCCTCCCCCCTCCTCCCGCGAGTATGTCACCTACGAGGGCAGCCTCACCACCCCGCCCTGCTCGGAGGGGCTGCTGTGGCACGTGATGCTCAAGCCGCAGAAAATTAGCATGGCGCAGGTGAGAAACCCTGTTCCCTGATCAGGTCTGTCGAGGAGAGGGGGAAAGAGTTCGCGCAGATGTGTACGCAGGAAATGGCTATATAGATGGGAAGCACGTGCCGGGGACTTGGTTGCGTCAAACGGTGCGGACCTGTCGAGAGCTTCGATCAGCTCCCGCACTTCATGAGACCCACCTGATCGACGAATCGCACCCGCGGTCTTTGTGCTCGTGTGTGTTTGTTTTCTAATGATGTTTGTGCGAGAGAGCACGACATCGTGTATGCACGTGTCTACATGATAACATATAATAGTGTGTGTGGTTGTTACAGTGGGTATGTGTTGTTACAGTGGGTATGTGTTTACATGATGACATGTGGTGTATGTGGCTTCCGCGCTGCTTCAGTGCCCTCCCTGGCCCACGCACCCAGGTATCTAAGCACTCTTCTCTTTCTGCAAAATCACTTTGTGGACTTGTCCCAACCCCTCCGGACTTGGCCGTTTTAGTGGACCAAGTACAAGACGGCTGTGGGTTTCAAGGAGTGCAGCCTCAAGAACGCCACCGCCACCGCCACCCCCAGCGCCAAGTCTGGAAGCCGGCAGCCTCGCCACCACCACAGCCGTCACCTGGCTGCAGCGGCCCCTGGCAACCCCGATGACTGTAAGCTGGTTCCTGTGCCATGGATTGATGTGCTCCTTACTATGTGATAAGAGTGCAACCTGCATGTCTTGCAAGGTCAAGTTCACGAAGAGTGGAGACCGGTGTGCTGCAATTCTGCTTGCCTAACATTGCACTACGCATCTGCGCATTCACTCCTATTACCTTTACCACTTCCCAACTCTGCTGCTAAGATTCCTGAAAGTAGGAATCTGGCCAGGGCTATGGGGAATGATATGTACCAATAGCAGCTGCTATTAGTACATAGTACATTAGTTTCTGCAGATACTAACTACAAGTGCCGTGCCGTGCCGTGGTTCAATCCAAACTAATCTACTGATGCGCCAGCCACCATTTACTTGATCTCTCTCTATATATGTACCCATGGCGTGCATGCAGATACCTGCAATGTCGTGGCGTACGGCACCAACTTCCGTACGCCCCAGCGTCTGTTCGGCCGGGCAGTCAAGCTCGCTTCTTAGTAATAAACTGAGGTATTGAATGTACTGGTGCAAACACCGGTCTCCAGCAAATTTGGATCATTGCCTCTTTATTGAAGTAATACCTTCCATGTCCTCACAGGATGTCGTATGTCGTACTAGGATAACGAAACGTCCGCAGATGAAGATATGAAAGATACGTCGAGTAGGAACTACTAGTGATCTGAGAGATAGGTTTTCCTCCCGCGCGTTGCGTTAGCTTCAAAGCTGTGAGTAATTGGGCAGCGTGCTCGGCTGAGCTTCCGCCGAAGACATGCATATGAGAGAGTCGAATGAAGAGACTGACCTTTCCCAGGATAGAGGGGTTCAGGATTAAAAGCAAGAGAGTGGCCAGGCCCGTGCATTTTATCATTTTTTTTGTCTCATTTCGCGAATCGGTCATGTACTTATGCTTTCCATTTTTCCTGTCCATCCTGACGCTTTTTTGGTTTTCAAATAGTCAGGGCAGGACGCCGCTATAACAGATAGCTACGGCCAAGTTTATGTGTGCTTTTAGCGGAGTTTAGACGCGCCTCAGGGGTCTCGGAGAGTTTTCGATGCTACCTGCGTGTGCTGATGGTCTCCACCGTCGCGAATTTAATATCGCAAAGCTTGGGGGATTTAGACAACTTAGGTTGTGCGCATTTGCGCATTACGTACATAAGAGTAGTATTTTTTGTTGCGGTCCTGCTCATGCGAGAAATATCTCTGACTCAGAGTTAGACAGCTTAGCAGCTGCAGCATAGATGGGTGCGCATATGCGCGCATGATATGCGTGGAGTCGTATTCTTATTACATTATTTCTCGTCTTCGAGAGACACCGCCTAAAGTGTATTCTTTAACAGCAGCTGCTTGCGGAGCGTGAGAGCCACCTACCTTGCGGCCCCATGTGCGGCAGTGCGCCGTGCGGTGGTGCGATTTGAGGTACCGAGAGGCGGCGGAAGCTGCGGAAGGAGTGCGCCACGTAGAGCCACGTGCTGAATCGCAGATGCCAGGTCCTCAGGCTTGCATTTCCGTGGCGAAATCTTTTAGAGAGCGCCGAGCGTAAAACGCAGTGTCTGGGAATGCCGAGATGTTATAGAGCGGTGTGGTAAGATGGAGTTTGGTGTGGTTCGGCATGTTGGATGGGCAGTCGCGGCGCTGCGCATCTATCCTGATGCCACAAGTGGGGCGCAACACCGCGGTTTTCATTAATAGCAATGACTGCTTTTTCGGAGAAAAATCTCGGAGGGAAAATTGGAGCCTCATTGTGTCGAAGGTAATACGGTGTTTGGCGGTTTTTTTCCTCTGCCGGTTTCGGTGTTATAATAGGATGCGGTAACAACGAGGTGGCTGACCAGGATAAGAGTTGAACTCACGACGCCTTACTTTACTCATTCAATTGAAAAAAAGTTTGTCTTAACGGCCGTTGCATATTGTGAGATCGCTGTATGTAATGACGCTGAAATAACTAAAGAATGCTGGCGCGCCTTGTGCGCATGCATCCCATCTCACGACACCATAATTAGTGTGACAGACCCTTAAGCAGTCTAGAGCCCACTGTAGCACACACACCCGCACGCATGCTATCGTGTCTCTCAAGTACTACCCCGGTACCGCCTCCGACGCCGAGTAATTGCCAGCGAACTACTGTTGAAGAGCAGCAGGTGTATGTGCCTGCCTTTGCCTTGCTTTTGCTCCCTTTAATTTCCCGTCTATTTCTGCTGTATATGTGGCAAAAAATAAGAAGGCTTGCACAAGGCTTCTCGTTTCAGGGGGCGTATGTAAGTATGTGCAGGGGTGGGCCCCTCCAAGGCAGCACGTTACAGCGCATTTCAGAGGTTGCGTGGGGCCAAACGCAGCAGTCAAGTATTGATAGGTGAGGGCAACCTTTGAACATATCTGCCGGATGCATTTGGGACCAAGTGATAATCGGAAGAAACACGCTTACCGCATGGGAAAGGACCCTGTCGTAGGTTCAAAGGCGGCAGAATTTCATCGAACAAATTTATTCAATATGCAAGAGGAGGTTGATGTGATGTTTTGCGAGGACGCTAAGGCGTGCTAAAAGGAAAAGAAGCGAAGAAACCCTAGCGACTACGTAATCTGACTAAGACTTCCGGCGAGGCAAGGGCAGCCAATCCTTGGGTTCATTATGCCGGTATCCTCCAGAAGAAAACAAGGTAATAATAAATTAACCCACTTCAGCCATCCCTCGGTGCCTCACAAGTCCAGATGCAATCGTTGTCCGTACTAATGACGTTCGACATTTCATTAGCTTACTCCGCAATTTTCCAAGGTGAATTTTAATTACCAAAGTACTTCCATTCTTACCGTACCCTCTATCCTATATCGTCAATTGGTGTCTACTCAGGTCCCGACCTAATCAGGTACCAACCTAACAGGCACGTTGGGCCAATGCCGACCAGCGGGAACTGTATGGCTTTGGAAAGTGAGAAGAGGTGCAATGCCAGCTAACGCATTTGAAGTCAAACTTGGTTTCGGTTTCAGCGCAGGGCCCACGACCGTTCACATCCACAATTAAATCTTGAACGAATCAGATGTTGCCAAGGAGCCCAATAACTATTTTCCTACTACTCTTCTTCCAATTGTATTCTAGGCTCAATCCCACGCGCTTACGTCCCCAAGATACCGAGAGATGGCGGCAGCACGTTTGTGTGCGGCGCTGATATTTGCAGCTCTATGCTTCCTTAGCCATGTCACTGCTTGTGTATTCAAGTATGGGACTTCGCCTGATTCACTGGTGCGCAGTGTCGGGCGGCCGTTGTTGTCAGAAAGTATGGCTTCTTACGTCTATTTATGGCAATAAGAATATCCGAGAATAAATAGTTGCACGATTTTGCGCTTGTGTACGCATATGAGGCGCTGGGCACCCATTCGAACGCAGCCATTATGACACTGCATTTGGCGGATTGTAATTCGCCGAAACTAAGCCCAGAACAATCTGTAAACTAACTGCAGGAAGCCCCTCACGCCGGCACTCATTGGGATCACGGCTTGAATGGAGATGACTGGTAAGCATGTCGGCGCTGGCGCCATGCTGGCCTTGCCCATATTTGCATACCATGATTCGCACGTCGGCTTCATTTTTGTTCGATTAAGGTGGTTAAAGAGTCTTTGGGCTCGTTTGGAACGCAGAAGCTTGTGAAACTCGTAATCTATCCAAGTCGATTTCCATTTCGGTTCTTTCCTTCATTTCTTCAGGACTGGTGTGGACGCAACTGGAAAGCCTTGGGCCTGCATGAGCGGAATTCGCCAAAGCCCTATCAATTTGCCAAACGCGGAAACTCTCAGTAAGTCTGTGAACATCTTTCTGTGTCCTTAGATTGGCTTTTGAATTGCTGGATAAAATTGAGGAGAAAAGTTTGGGGGTTGGGGCATATCGGCGGCACCGGAGTACAGAACCGGGAGGGCCCCAAAGCTTACGCATCAGGATGATCTATCGTACGCCTGTCCTTCATGCTCATACCGTAAGCTTAAAGCCTGGAAAAGGCCTCCAATATTAGGGTTACTGTTTCGGTACTAGAATGACTTGGGAAGCTACAGCTCCAATCGCATCCACTGGCACGGCATAGTGCTCCTATGGTAATGCTATCCCTGGTGTGGGCCTATTCTCTGTCGGCAACCCTTGATGCTCATGACAGGAAAATGTTTCTATCCGCTGTCCACCTGCAGAAAATCGCGGCAGCAACATCCCGGACAAGTTCCGTACCCGCTGGTCGTACCCAACCATCTACTCTAACGGCTCCAATGTGGAGGTTATCAACACAGGACACGCCATCCAGATTGAGTGGCTGTCGCCGTTCGCAGCCGACGTCGCAATTGTCGTCCCAGGTGTGCCGTACTGCATGATTTCGTTCATGTATTTCACTTAGTTCCCGAGCGTGCTTGCATTCCCGCCCCGTCGCATTATTACGTACACTGCAACGGGGCCATGTCGCTGTAGCAATTTTCACACCTACAGGCGCCGCTGCCCCCATTTTCTAGCTTGCTAGCTGAGCCCGGCCACACGACCTAACGAAGCTCTAATGCATGCTTTGTGTCAGGCATCTTTAGCACGTGCTGTCCTCTGAGATCCCTAAGCCCTAAAGAACTGGATGTGCCATGCTCTATTTCATTTCCCCGCCCATAGCACGCCAGGACAGCAACACAAGGATCACCTCTGTGTTGGGCATGACCGAAACCGATCAGGCAACCACCGTCAAAGCCACGCCGCTGCAGTTCCACTTCCACACGGTCTCCGAGCACCTGGTTGGAGGTAGGTGCAGGAGTGCCATCCCATGCAATGCAAAGTAGCAGCAATGTGGTGAGCGATGTGGGTGACGGAAGATCACCGGCAAAACGGGCACTTGTAAAACCTGGTATGGACGAGTAGTGTGTCGGTTTTACCGGTGCAACTACCGTATGGTGGCAGCTACATGCCTGTTTGTTAAGAAATCTTGCCAGCCAGGCAAATCATTCCAATGTACTTAGGGTTGGAATGCATGGCCGACATAAGCCAGCTAGCTCCCGCAAGATTTGCACGAGTCGTCACAGTCACCCGTGTGGAACAAGCCACTCTCATAGGTTGTGACTTCCGGCAAGCGCGAGGCTTAGCTCGTTCTTAGCGGCGACAGATGTAGCGTCTAAGCGTCGTTGATGCTGGTACCAGCTAGACTCTGATTGATTGAGCGTCCAAGCCTTGCTAATTCAACCTATTCCTGGCTTCACCCTCCCCCGGTTACTGCCACTCAAACCTGGCGCCGCCCTTTGCCCTCCTCCCATAACGCCGCCTGGAGTTTTAGGCAAGCACTACCCTCTTGAGCTTCACATCGTCCACCGTGTGACTGACCTGCCCGCCTGCACCGCCGGCTGCTTCTCCGTGACGGGGGTGCTGTTCGAGCTGACTCAGTCGGAGGACAACCCCTTCCTGGAGGCCATCTGGGCAGCCTTGCCCATGCGTGAAGGGGTGAGGAGGAGAATGGGTGAAGGAGTGGGTGAAGGAGTGGCTGCGGTTAGGCCGAGGATGTGGTCGGTTTGGAACCTGGTAGCCGACTCGAGGCTTTCGCAATGAGTTCTCGAGTCAGCAAGTTCCTGCATTACAGATTTTTAAGATGTTACGGAGTGGATGGCTTCTGGTCCATGCCTGGATTTGGATTACAAACTAAGCAAGCCCGGGTCGCTAGCTGCTGCTGGTGGTGGTGCTGCCAGCAGCCACACCAAGGACGGTGAGGTGAGGCTGCGAGCAGTGGTAGTCCGCTTGGGGTGCGGGAGGTTCTTTCCCCCCCTGAAGGCGGTTTGGGGTTAATTTGTGTGTTACAGCGTAAGACGTCGGCTGCAAAAGCATGGGCAGTGGCATGCCCTTCCGCAATCACCCCCATCCATTTCAACTCGGTGCCCTATCGTGCAAAAAAACGAAATTCCTTCAGGCCATCAACTATTTGCCTCCGGACGCTGAGGTCCGTCTTGAGGAGCTTCTCCCTCCCCCCTCCTCCCGCGAGTATGTCACCTACGAGGGCAGCCTCACCACCCCGCCCTGCTCGGAGGGGCTGCTGTGGCACGTGATGCTCAAGCCGCAGAAAATCAGCATGGCGCAGGTGAGCGGTGTGGCAAACGAGTTCCTGGGAACGGTTTACCAAGTCATGCTCAGGGCAGGCTGCACGTAACGGGAGTTGTGAGCCGGTTGCGCCAGCTCTCACATCGCAATCATTAGCCACGTGGTGCTTGATTCGCTTTGATATATCAAAGTATGCGCATAATGATACGCCGGTCTAAATCACATTTACTTCCCAGCTTATGTATCTGCGCCAACGCTACCCTCCACCCAGCCACCTCGCTCTAACCCTCTCTTTGCTCGCCATCCGGCTTCTCAATTTGTCTTATTGCGTAATCTTGTTTCCTGTTTGCCCATCTCGCCTTGCACACAAAACGTCCCGGTTTTCCGCTCCATGGTCACAGTGGACCAAGTACAAGACGGCTGTGGGTTATAAGGACTGCAGCCTCAAGAACGGGACCGCTTCTGCCGGCAATGTTCACCAGCATCACCACCACCGCCGTTCTCTGGCTGCAGAGGAGGCCACGGGCAACGCCGAAGACTGTGAGTACCTACCTAGGCCTCTTGATGTGACCGGTGTGTTTTCTGGTTTGCTCACTTTGCGGGGCCCCGCTGAAGTGTGATGAGGAGGACGCACGGCCTGCAGTGTACAGCAAGCACAACGGCACCTGCAGCCCGGTGGTGCTGTAGGATCCCCTCCTGCCCAAAGGGCCTACTGCATCTGGGGCCACTTGGTCATCTGCCTTCACATTGCATCACGGTATAGCCGGGCTGCACGTTGATGGGGGGTTGTCCCCCCTGGGGCCCTTGGAACAGAGAAAAGTACTTTTACACTTTTTACTCTTTTTACACTTTTTACACTTTTTACAATTTTTACACTTGTACTTTGTCCCAGGGAACGCATCAAACCCGCATCCACCTGCATTACTCATTAGCGACGATGCGGCCCAATTTCTCGCCAATGCTCGCTCCAGCGGAGACTGTGACTTGTTTTGTCATTCGTGGATGCGCGGCATCGTCCTTTAAGACGAGGTCCTCTTGTGTGCGGGTGTCTGAGGGTGCTGTCACCATTGCCACCACTCTGGACTACTACAGCTACTACTACACAGCTAACTGCAGTGCATGCACAGGCGCCTCACATCACGCTCCGTGATTACATCTCCATGTGCCGTACCTGCCCCGTCGTTGCACGCAGATGACTGCAAGGTCGTGGCGTACGGCTACAATTACCGGGCGTCCCAGCGCCTTTATGGGCGGGCTGTCCGGCTCGCTGCTCTTACTTAAACTGAGCTTCGGGAGTAATGGCGTGTATATCCAGCGGATAGGTGTCGTGCTTAAAGTAATCTTCAGTACTCCATCTTCTTACTTTCTTTCTTTCTTTCTTTGCCACCACGGCGTGCCGTAACGTGCTGATGGCCTCCTGTTGGGCTCCGTTAAATATAGTTGGATGCTCTTGTGGGCAATTTCTAACTGCGCATACGCATTATGGCCTTTTCATGAAGCTTTTAGAGCAGGACAGTGTCTTCATAATACGTTGTACGGCGATGGTTTAACGCTTTCTTAACACTTTCTTAGCACTTTCTTCTCCTTGCATACGGATAAAAGTGCACGACAATGTCATTGTACGGCATCGCGCATGCTCGAAAGTTTATTTGTGCAGCATCACGGTGGTCAATTGCCCGTGGAAATGTAATGGTAGGGGTTGGCCTGTGTTTGGGCCCTATGTGCATAAGTACCTCCTAGGTTTACTTGCTCGTTTTTTTCAATCAATGTCAGCACCGTCCTTACTGACACATCCCATCTCTATAGTTATTCCCGGGATTCACCTTTATCGCGATTGGGGGCCAGCGGAAAAGGGCCTCAGGGCCCGGGGCGTGTACATCTTCGGACTTCAAAGACCGGTCGAGGTATCGTTGCTTAGGTCGTTGATGAGGCGTCGTTCCTTTAGGCCGAGATATATCACTTTGTAGTCTCTAACAGCAGGTGAAAGCAGACGCCAGTTTACGGACGTGGGCACGTAAGATTATCTTTGAGAATCTTACGATTGTGTGCCATGTACGATTGTGCGGCTTGTCGTACATGGACCAATCGGGGCGTCCTGGTGAGTCACCCAAGAGTGCCCCCTGGGGAGCATTCACTTCGCATTCACTTCGCGGACGTATGTATGTATGTTAGTGGCGACCATGATGAGATAGCGCGTGCGAAATGCTTCGGTGTTGATGCAGTAGATGATGTCCTTGCTCTAAAGCAGTGGCCGCGGCAGCAGCCGAGAAGACCTTGCAAGGACTAGGTAGGGTTATCGCGGCATTTCGAGGAGTTCCAATTGCCGCACGCCGTGTCAGCGCCATGGCGCGACAGCCTGGTGACACCAACAGCAAGGGGCTGTTTCTCAGGATATGTCTGGTGGGAGAGTCTTCGGCTAGTCCGCAAGTTTTAGGTCTTGGGTCCGGAGTGGCGGCAAGTGCTTGCATTTATGACAGGGAAATTCATTGGCTTCCCTTGCGCCATATTGTGGTCTCCAATGCGCGTGGTCGATTTACGCTCTGTTCGTCTGCCTCCTTGCATCTCGGCTGATCTCTTTCTCCTTAGGCTTAGTTATTAAAGTGTAATCCACTGGTTTCCGGTTGTCCTCAATGTGCAACCAGTTTTTGTCGCATTTCCGTACCGCTGTCGTGCACAGATCAGTGGCTTGGCCTTTCTCGGCACTGACGCGACTAGCTCCGTGCCGCCTTCCTTTGTTCCTGGGCGGAGCTTGCGAGGCGTGGTGAGGTGTCGCCGTCCGATTATGGTGTACTTCTGCGCTCCCCGTGATACTGGCGCTGCTCTCCGCAGGTCCCTCTTCCTACTGGCGGCCTCAGCCTTCCCGGGGGTCCGCTTCCCTCTCCGAATATAATGAAACTTTCATCCTTTGGCGCCTTCTGTGGGTTGTCTGCTTGCTGCCACCTGTTCCGTGTGCGGTGTTGGCTGACTCTCGTGTCTCGGGTGCTTCCTGCAGGATTCCTTCCCTGGCTCTGGGGTTGTTGCCAGTGTCGCCGCCGTCTCTGCCGGGCCCCCCGTTGGCAGGTCTTTTCTGCTGGGCGTCCTTGCCCAGGTTGGTAGGGGTGTCCGTTGGCTGCTGGCCCGTTCTAGCGCTCTCCTAAGCGGTTCTCTCGGCTGCAGGCACCTGCTCCCCTGGGTGTGGCCCACGGTCGCCTTGACCAGGTGATCGCTCGGCTCCGCCCTTTCCCCCTCATTCCAGCCGCGGACCAGGAAGCTTCTTACCAGCGGGGTCTGGCCGCGGCCAACCAGTGGCTCCTGGGGGCCTTAGCCTCTTCTACGGTGTCTCGCCAGGATGGTGCCGCCACTGAGTTCTTGAGTTGGCTTTCCAGCCATGGCCGTGGTCGGAACTGGTGGACTTGTGCACCCGACGATGTGCTTGTTTACATGACGGTTTGGTGGTTGCCTCGTCATCAGGGCCGGGGTGGTGGCCCCGCTGGGCCTGCAGCTGTGAAGTCCCACCTGTCCACCCTGAGTGGTTTCTTCAGCTGTGCGGGCCAGGGTGGTCGATTCGACGTCTCTACCGGCCAAGGCAACCCTTGCGATTGCATCTGGATCGAGGATTTCCGAGCTTCGTATCAGCGGTCCC